TCTTGACGCTCTTGTCACAGCCGTCGCTGACTTTGCCTCTACCCACCGCCTTGACTATGCCACAGCTCTGGTCTCTGACCCTGCACGTCCTTCGTCTATCGGGGGTGCACCTGCCCTTGGCAGTGACGTCATAGAAGACAGACAGTACAAGCTAGCATTCCTGACCGAGGCTGCTCCCCATCGCTGCTCCATGCTGCTAGTCCCCGAGGGTGACCCAAACACCCTTGACATCCCGACCCCTCACACTTACGTTGAGGCGACTTCGGGACAGTGGGCCTCTCAGTGGATAGTTGCTATGGACGCGGAGATGGCATCTTGGAGATCCATCGGCACCTACGTCGACGCAGTTCCCCCACCTGGGGTAAACGTAGTCGATGGCCGGTGGCTCTTCAAAGTGAAGCGACCTCCTGGAGAGTCGCCGGTGTTCAAGGCGCGCTACATTGCTAGAGGATTCAACCAGCACGAGGGTGTTGACTTCTTCCAGACCTTCGCCCCGACCCCAAAGATGACCACTCTTAAGATGCTACTACACGTAGTAGCACATCGTGACTACGAGCTGCACTCCCTCGATTTCTCCACAGCGTTTCTCCAGGGCAGTCTGCACGAGCAGGTCTACCTGCGCCGTCTGACAAGCTTCACTGGCACCTTCGCCCCTGGGACTGAGCGGCTTTTCCGGCGCTTGGTTTACGGCCTGCGGCAGTCGCCCCGTCAGTGGCATGACACATTACGTGCTACGTTAGCTGACTTGCAGTTTTTCTCATCGTGTGCAGACCCTTCGCTCTTCGTTCGTTCAGGCCAGACCCCGTTCTACATCCTTGTCTACGTAGACGACCTGGTCTTTGCTACTGCAGATAGAGACGCTCTGGCCTCCGTAAAGGTTAAGTTGCTGAGGAGACACACCTGCACTGACCTAGGAGAGCTGCACCGCTACCCTGAGGAGTCGGTAGAGCCTAGTGGTCTGTACGCAGAGCTGGTGGGTTGCCTCACCTACCTAATGACTTGCACTCGTCCAGATCTCGCATACCCTCTCAGCATCCTGGCTCCCTTTGTGGCGACAGGCAGACACTTACCATAGCACTGGTCGAGCGCTAAGAGGGTTTTGCGTTATCTAGAAAGTACATCGGGCATGGGGCTAGTGCTAGGAGGATGCAAGCTAGTGGTCTTTACAGGGCACACAGACGCTTCGTGGGCGGACGACGCTGAGACGCTCAGGTCCTCCCAGGGCTACTACTGTAGCCTTGGTGCAGGCGCCATCTCGTGGAGGTCAACCCGCTTATCGTCTGTTGCCTAGTTGAGCTGCGAGGCCGAGATCTACGCTGGTGCCATGGCGGCACAGGAGCTCCACTGGCTGACTTTCTCGCTCACAGACTTACTGTAGGTGAGCGGCATAGCTTTGCCCCGGTCCTGTACGCTGACAACAAGGCCATGATCCTCCTATGCCAGGAGCCTCGATTGGAGGGCAAAGTGAAGCACATCCAGCTGCGGTACTTCCTTCCGCGCGCTACAGCAGCGACGCCAGGCCTGCGTAGTTCACTTGGTCTCCGGTGCCAACACACCTGATATCTTTACTAAGGCGCTTGCGCCTTAAGATCATCAGCGACACTGTGTACAGCTTGGTCTGGTTCTAGTAACTCCTAACTTGCAAGGACCTTGATTGTGTACTTCGCTTTTATATATTCTCCTGACTGACCTTGTGGCTTCTGTTCCAGTGTCCGGACTAGTAGTGCCGCCCTGGTTTGCTCGTGTCTAGTTTGTACTCTTACTGACTGGTCTTCAGACCCTTGTCTCAAAGGTTGGACTAGTAGTGCCACTCTGAGCTGCTTATCTCATACTAGGCACTGCCCCTTGTCTAGCCTAAGGGGTGTGTCAAACATATATGTATATGTTATTATAGGCTAGATAGGTGCATGCTCTTAGAGAGTACAACTCACTAGCACAAAGTCACACTGTACCCTCCATTCTAATCAATGCGTTATTTTGAGACCGCAACCGAAATGACGTGATGGTTAACAGCGTAACGGCGACGCCAGTTGTAGCTCCAAACAACCGAAATGAACGCCACTAAAATTACGTGACAAAAACTCGCGACAGACGCAGCTGTTCGTTCCCGGGGGAAGGGCGGGGCACAACCAATCCAGGCCGTCCAAAGGTAGGGATCGAGTGGCTTAGAGGCGCACACACTATCATAGTTGTAGGAGCTAATCATATCTAGCCCCTGGACAACCGCTGTACAGCCTCAGGCCCTCCAGCCATCCCTCCTTCCCCCCCCCCCCTCCCCCCCCCCCCCCCCCCCGAAAAAAAATCTCGGGTAGGCGGAAACGACTAGCCTAAGAAAGTGCTATGAATACCAGATGTTATGAGTGGGAATGGAACATCCACTCTGTAATGGGAATACAACCTCAGAAAATGATTGAATTAGCAAGTGACGAGTGAACTGGCTAAGATAGGGCATGGACGTGCTAGGACGAGCTAGGGCGAGAACTTCGGGACTTGATGTCAGTTGGTTGGGTGGTGAGGGTCTCGGAACGCGACACGGGGAGGTTTGGGTCGACATAATAGGCCGAACCTGCGAGTTCGAGGTATTCGGGTGTACGCGCTGTAGTTCAGCGCAACAAGGAATTGTAATTCCTTATAGAGGGTCACAACGTAGGCATTTTGACAGTAGGTTAGGGGATGTATGAAGTAAACGGGCAATGCCCGATAAGCTATTTTGACGTCACTTGGCGACGTGCGCGCGACGTCGATTTTGCTTATTCCGAGGGCTACACAAGTACATTGAACAATGACGAAATGCAAAACATGCTGGAAACTTTTTTGAGGGTGCTAAAACCGAAACACGATGTGACAAAAAAGGTTTGCCTAAAAAAAAAATATTGTAACGTGCGAAACGAGAGAGGGATTGCACGTCGCATTCGTTTTTAGACCACACCTCGGGAGTTGGCATTTCGATGTGCTGGCACTCCACTTGCGAAAATCTATCTCTCGTGAGCTGGTTCGTGCTTTCGCTGGATGTTTGGTTTTGTTTTTTCGACTCCTGCCCATGGGCATTGCTTTGGGCAGCACAATACACCTTTAGTCCAGTAAACCGCCCATTCATTAGACGTCACGTGTCCATCTACAAGCTCATTGGTTCGAACACACGGGCAACGACCCAACCCACAGAGGCCCAATGATCTCCATCAGTTACCACATCTGATATTGAGACCTCCAAACGTGCAGACGAGACGTTATGAGGCCTCACACTGTTGCCCGAGGAACGCAAAAGAAACAACAATGGTCAGCCGCTTTAGACTGAAAAATGTCAATTAGGTAACTTGACTACGCTATATTGGCCCATTTCGCACGTGAAAGTTTTGCGCTCAATTCTGGAGTACCCGCGCAGAAAACAACTAAGCTTGAAAAGGACTTCATGTGTATGAGCTGGGACGTCAGCTCGGATGGCTCGTATTTTCCACTGAACACTAACAGAGCGTCTACAGTAATTGTTACATGGGGTAACCAAACTAAGCTATCGCTGACGTCCCGGGACGTCATTCTCGGTTTCACTTCCTACACCCCCTACCCTCAGGCTACCTGCTCAGAGCCCCCTGGGTTACACTGTCTTGAACCGAGCTAACAAGAAAGAAGAAGGCCGCCATGGAATGGCGGCCGAGGTTTAGCTAGGGAAGATTGACGAGAGAGAAGGGATTCGACTAGAAGAGAATGAAGTACAAGAAGGGGGTTATCCCCTCTACAGTAGGATGCAGTTAGTAGCATAACTACCAAGCCTACAATTATATAAAATATAATTGAACACACCCCCTAGGCTTGGTAGTAGGAAGACCCACATCACACACCCCCACACCCCCCAACCTAACACCCACATTCCCAGCAGCCACGACTACTCCAGCAGGGCCAACCCCAAGGCCCTGGAGATGGCGACGGCGGGAGTCCCGGCAGCGGCGACAGCAACGGCGACGACGGCGTGCAGCGGCAACAGGCCTGCGGCGACGGCGTCGGCTTTGGCTTACGACTGCGCTAACGGCAGCGGTCCCCGCCCTTTCGGCGGCGTGTCCAAACTCCGTGACAGGGGGACGACCGGCGGGAGTCAGGAGGCGGCTGTGGCGAATAGGAGGGGACGGAGGGAAGGGGGAGGGGCGGGGCTTCGAATCTTCAGCGCGGCGCCATTGCTGGCGCGACGCTTACTGGCGTGCGGGCGGGCTGCATGTACAGCAGCGACGCAGGTGGGACGCGGCGGCTGCAGCCCGACGACGCCGCCGCGGCACCATTACGACGCCGCCACAGCGTGGCGTCGGTGCCGCGGCTGCTCGTCGAAGCTGAGACGGCAGGACTAAAAGGCCGCCGCGGCATCACGGAAAAGATGCCATGGCGGCAGGCAGGCGGAAAGCCGGAACGGCGGCAAAGTAACAACGGGAACGCAGCGGAAGCGTAGTGAGCAGGCCCAGGACGGGCGGCCTGCTCTGTTACCATGTCTTGAACCGAGCTAACAAGAAAGAAGAAGGCCGCCATGGAATGGCGGCCGAGGTTTAGCTAGGGAAGATTGACGAGAGAGAAGGGATTCGACTAGAAGAGAATAAAGTACAAGAAGGGGGTTATCCCTTCTACAGTAGGATGGAGTTACAATTATATAAAATATAATTGAACATACACGTCAGCGCGAAACCCCGAGGTGTCTTGTGGTGGCTATAAGGAAATTCCCTTTTCCTTACTGGGCTCGACTACAGCGCGTACGCCCTCGACTCTCGGAAGTCCAGGCCCGGCCAACTTCTTCGGTCCCGAGCCACTTAGCGAACCCAAACCTAGACGAGCAGCGCTTCCGTGGCTTTCACCAACCGAATCGCCCCAACCTGTTCGCGTGGTTTTCGGCTAGCTATGTTCGTGCCTATAAATGCCTAGGCCCTCATTTGTATCGACACTCTTGAATCACGACTCCTTTATTACACTACCTGTTATTATGCTGATTCATTCATAACAGGGGTCGTGGGGGTAACAGTTTGCCACCAAGAATTTCTCACAGCGGGAGAAAGGCCAAAGAGTATGCGCAAACCACGCCTCACTCGGATCATCGTTCAGTCGTCCAGCCATCTTAGTAGCCAGTCCGACGATTGTAGTGGACATAGTATCACGAACTAACAGAAGAAGGGTCGCTATTACCAGTAACTCCAAACCTAGTATCGATGCCATTCGGGCAGATCGTGATTGGCCCGCCAGGCTCTGGAAAGACCACTTATTGCAATGGCATGCAGCAATTTATGCAGCTTCTAGGAAGGTTCGTGCGCGAGCATTGTTTCTATCTCATCTCCAATCACGTCGCGTATGCTAGTGCCACTCTTCTTATCGTCACGGCCCCTCCGTCCGTTAAAACGCTTGTGGCCGTACCCGAGCAACCCCTTTCCAGAAATCGCATGTGATCAGTTTTGAGGCGCCTCAAAGCATGTGATCATCCCTTCCCACACCCTCTTACCGGATATCGCATGGTTCCCGTTTGCCGGCCAATCCTCCACTTTTGCCGCCCGAATTCAATGCGTCGTCATTCCAGGAAAGTGGCAGTGATCAACATGGATCCTGCCAATGATCGCCTGCCGTGAGTGATATGCCAATCTTCTATCCCATCCTAGCCCATGCTATGCGATCCTATGCCATGCCATGCCATGCCAAACCATGCCATGCCTAGCCATGCCAAGCCATGCCACGACACCTCAATTTCACGTCCTTCTTGTCGCGAGTACCGTCTTTTTTCAATCCACATCCCCTCTCCTCTCCAACCCTCTCCACAACCCCTCTCTCTCCCCCTCTTACCCCACCCACATTTCCCCCCCACCCCCACCTCAACCAACCACCCCCCCCCCCTCCCTCTCCTCCCCCCCACCGCACCCCACCCCAATCTTATTCGCTATTTCTTCGCTTCCCTGAATCCGCAGCTGCGAGTGCGCGGTGAACATAGAGGAGGAGCTCATCCGACTAGAGCACGTGATGACCAAACATGGCATTGTAACCCCCTCCTCCTCACTCCTCCTCACTCCTCCTCACTCCTCCTCACTCCTCCTCACTTCTCCTCACTCCTCCTCACTCCTCCTCACTCTCCCTCACTCCCACCCTCAACCCCACCCCACCTCACTCCCCCCACCCACCTCCCCCCACTCCCCCCCACTTCCCCCACCCCCTCCCCCCCCCCAAAACCTCCGCCAAACTTCCCCAAGGTACGAGTGCGCAGTGAACATTGAGGAGCTCATCCGCCTGGAGGATGTGATGAGCCAACACGGGCTGGGGCCCAATGGAGGTGCGCTGACTGGATAAGTGCAGGCATGCAGCTGTGGGGGATGAGGGTGGGTTGGGGGGGGGAGGGGAGGGGGGGGGTTGGTGGGCGGGGGAAAGGGGAAGGGGGAGGTGTGGTTGTGAGTGGGATCACGTGTTCATGCGCACATTTATGGTCCGTTCGTGCCCCGCCGCTATGGTACTCTGCACGGATCGCACACGATAAACATGCATGGCATGGCCTGATTCTCTCTCTCTCTATTTGGATTACTCTCCCTCTCCCTCTTTCTCCCTCTCCCCCTCTCACGCCCCCTCCTCTTCTCTCTCCTTCCACACAGCTCTGGTGCATTGCCTGGATTGGATAGCATCAACATGACTGCGACTCTCACCTCCCCTCTCCCCTCCCCTCTCCCCTATCCCTCTCTGTCTCCCTCTCCCCATCCATCGCCGACTGCATGTCTCCCGCCATACAGGACTCGTGTATTGCATGGACTACATTGACAAGAACTTCGACTGGCTGCTGAAGAAACTCAAGTCTCTGGAAAAGGGTCAGTATCGGTCAGCGGGCATTCCTTGCCCTTGGGGCTCACCAGTTTCACCAAGTAGTTAACCACAATGCCACTTAAGAAACGCTTTTTGAGAATGTTCGGGTAGAATGTTTTTTGCCATTTTGTACTTCGTGATCTGAGTCTCACAAGTTTCCCTTCTTTTTTCCCACTGTGTGTGTCACAATTAGTACCTGATTTAATCAGCTGCGTGGCGGTTACAAGGTCTGCATCTTCGTATACAGGCAGCTTGGCAGTGGCAAGTTGTTTACCAGTGTGGGAAAAAGACTAACCATACTTTTTTTGCCGAGACAAGCGAGAGCTCTATGTTTGTGTGAGTAAGGATTCCCGGAAATGGAGCTCTCCCATCCTCCGGAGAATGGGGTCTGAGCTGTCATTTTCCCACGCAGCAGTGAACGAATTGTCACTGCCGGAATGCCTGTAAGCGAAGATGCAGACCTTGTAACCGTCACGCAGCTAACTGGATCAGGTACGAAAAATTGTCAGACACAGTGGAGAAAATAAGAGGGAGCACATGTGAGATTCCGATCAAGAAGTACAGAATTAAACCTTAATTCGTTGCCCTTCATCACCCCTCATCCGTATGTTCCTGCACAGCCTTTGTTCATTGCCCTTTCTCCACCCATTGTCTCATCTGATCCTTCATCCCATCCCATCCCATCACACACACATGTGCCCCTCTATAAACAGACCACTACTTCCTCTTTGACTTCCCTGGTCAAGTGGAGCTCTTCACGCTGCACTCCAGCGCACAGAACATCATCAAGCGACTCACAGACCAGATGCACTACAGAGTGAGCCTATCTCCATGCCTGAAATAAACCTCCTCCTGCTAGCTCACTTCCGCCTTGCCTTCCCTTGCCCTCCTCTCCTCTCCTCTGCCCTCCTCCCCACTCCCCTCTTCTCTCCTAAAAAAAAAAAATCGTGCAGGGACTTCAGCGCCTCTCCCTGCTCCACTCCATATCACCTGGTGGGGCGCCCGCATGTGCAGTGAGGCAAGCAAACATCTCTGAGGCGGGGCCCCACTTGATTCCTCCGTGTCCAATCACCCCATTTCTCCCCTTCGTCCCCCCCCCCTCCCCCTCTTTTCCCGCCCTTCCAGTTAGCCGCCGTTCACCTGGTGGGCGGGCATCCGTGAAGTGAGCCCTTCAAGTGCGTTGCAAAGCCCCACCACTCACACCCTCCGTGCCTCCTTTGCTCTCCTCCTCTCCCTGCTCCTCGCCATGCCTCCCCAGCTACCCTCCGTTCACCTGGTGGGTGGATGCCTATCCGTGCCACACAAGTGCGTGGCGCCTATTACTACTTGATTTCTCAATGTCCACACACTCCATTAATCTCCCCCCTCCCCCCCCCTTCTCCCTCCCCCCCCACCAACCCACCCCAGCTAGCCGCCGTTCATCTGGTGGATGCGCATCTGTGCAGCGAGCCGCACAAGTACGTGTCGGCGCTGCTGCTGTCTCTGCAGGTGAAGGGCACTCATGGTCGTCGGTGTCATGTTCCCTTGTGTTGTAGAGCTTGTCACACGAGTACGGCATGGTCACATCACATGGGACAAGTTGGTCTTTATTTTTGAGGCGCCTCAAAAATAGACTCCTCACGCATGTTCTTGTGTTCTGGAGCTTGCCACACGAGTGTGACATGGTCACATCACATGGGACAAGTTGGTTTTTGAGAATCCTCAAAAACCAGGGCACGCACGCACACATGGGCCGTAGTTGTCATGTTCTCGTGTTGTAGAACTCGTCACACAAGTGCCACATGGGCCATTCATCTCGCTTTCTAGGAGTGACTCTTCGTGCTTTCCGGTGCCTCATGTTTCTCGGTATCTGTTAACATGTTGTGGGAGCGTTACTGGGTGCGTTACTGGGTGCGTTACTGGGTGCGTTACTGGGTGCGTTACTGGGTGCGATGAGCACGTGTTCTGAAATGACAGATTGTGCGATGTTCCAAAGTTTTGAGACGTCTAAGAACACGTGTTTTGAAATGGCAGGGCTGTGCAATGTTCCAAAGCTCCCATCAGGAGATTTTCAATTGCACGCATGCTGTTGCTTGCTGCATGGTCTACACTTTATTTTTTCTAAAATTTGTTGTCTTCGCAGGCTATGTTACACTTTGAGTTACCACACATCAACGTCCTCTCTAAGATCGACCTTGTTGAGGCGTATGGGCCGCTCGGTGAGTGCTTCTTTCATGCAGCCATAGAGCTAGGGATACTCTTGCAACACCGATTCTTACTCTACTGCTAAAGTGTCTTCCTTAGCTGCAGCTCACCCACCTCTATGGCTGCGGGCCGCTCCAGTGAGTGCTTCTTTCATGTTTCACACGTCGCACATTCTATTTCAGGTTTCCTTCTAAGTTTTCTCTGGGCTGTCGAGTCCGATCGTTCTCTGTAAGGTAGGCTTACAGTCCTTTTGGTGAGTGCAACTTACCCTGTCTCCCCCCTCTCCCCCCTCTCCTCCCTCTCCCCCCAGCCTTCAACCTTGACTTCTACACGGACGTGCAGGACCTCTCTTACCTGCAGCAGCACTTGGAGGACGATCCGCGCAACAAGCGATACTCGTGAGTGCGCTCAACTCATGGTGTGTGCCACTTGTTTGACATGCTAAGACTGTGTGTGCCACTTGTTTGACGTGCTAAGACTGTGCGCCTGGAAATAGACACTGTGTTATGGGAAGCAGCGTGTTGGTCGTATAATATTCAGTGCGTGTGCGCGCACAATCAGAGTTGTTTGAGTCGACACAAATACACCTGTATAATTTTCATTGCTTGTTGAGCATCGCACAATCAGAAAACAAACATGCATGCTCTTCTAACTGCCATGATGGGCTGTTCGTTGTTGTCCGCTCGCTCCTCTCCCCTCCCCTCCCCTCCCTCCCCTCCCTCCACTCCCCTCCCCTCCCCTCTGTGGCAGCAAGCTGACGTCAGCAGTGTGTGAGGTGGTTGATGACTTCGGCCTTGTCACCTTCGAAACGCTCAACATACAGGTGGGCAGACTCAACAGACAGGTGGGCAGAAACGATGATTACGTGACGATCGGTGCTCGTCATTTGCATGACTACACTACATCACCCTTCTCCCAATCTCTGACTCCTCATTTTCCGGCTCTCACTCAATCCATCCTCTCTGCCTCCTCACTCGCTTGGTTGTTGCACCCTCTCTGAGCCGCAATGCACCCTCCCGTCTGCACTCCTCTCTGCCTCTATTCCAGCACAAGGAGAGCGCATCAGATCTCTTCTGGGCAATAGACGGCGAATAGTCGCGTGTTTGCAGGGAGAGAGGCGACCGGAGCATAGGATTTCTTTTCAAAATAGCTACTCGCTCCATCTGCAGTTGGAGGAGGAGATATATCCCCCTATCCACACATGCACACCTGCTCTTACCCTCTTTCTCACTCACCCACTTGACCCTCTCCTCCCTTTCCCATACCCCCACCCTCCCACTTTCTCTGCTCTGCTCTGCTCACCCCAGGACAAGGAGAGTGTATCAAATCTTATCCGGACGATTGACAAGGCGAACGGCTATGTGTTTGCGGGGATAGAGACAAGCGCAGCAGAGTACTCAAAGATCGCCACGCGGTCGATGCAGTGGGAGGAGGAGAGATATCCCCCTCACACACACACACACACACACACACCATCTACCCTCCCCTCTCGCACAACCGTCTCCATCTCCTCTCTCACAACCGTCTCCCTACCCTCTCTCACAAAGTAATGCATGACCCGTCCTTGTCTCACTAACTCCCTACCCTTTCGCCTTTCATGCACACACACTCTCTGCCATGTACGCTGGTCAGGTCACCAACCCTTGTCTGTCCCTATGATTCCCCATTGGCGTCCTTTCCCCCCGTTCGTTCCTGTTATCGCATAAGTGACTCAGTTCTGTAGGCTTTTCCCTGTCTTCCCTGCTGCTTTCTCGTTTTCTCGCTCTGTATTACGACAACTTTCTTCCTTCCACCGCCTCTTCCGCCCAAGTTGGTCACACCAAGCCACCCCACTAATCTCCATCCCTCTTACGGTAAATATTTCCTTAACCCACGCCTCCGTTGGCAACCCTCCTTTCGGCGTCCTCCATGCAATGATCATCCCGATGGCAAAACTTGGTGTCCCGATGGCAAAACTTGGTGTTACGATGGCAAAACCTGGTGTTTATATTGCGGCATGACCTCTCCACAATAGGGAATGTTCAAGAGAAGTACTTCAGGGATGCTGCAGACACTGGGAAACGAGAGGAGGGATGATATGAGATGATTTTATGGCGAATCAATACAAGATGTCCTATCCTATGCAATTGCCTCATCTAAGGCATTATGGGAAAGGTTTGCAAGGTGTTGTAGTAGGGATGTTGGGCAAGTGCCTGTTCTAATGAGACGACAAATGCATGTCATGAGGGAAAACAAAGCACTAATAGCGAGGTTGCTTTTACGCGGACACGGCCCGATGATCGCGGACACGGCCCGATGATCCCGAAGACAAATTCCCTACGAGACTGCTGGTTCGGACTTCGGAGGACACTCCTACGAGAGGGCAGTATCGTAGTTGGGTGCTATGGCGGGCCGACTGACCGACAACGCCTCGATAAGTGGAGGCCTATTGGATCGCGCCGATGTCAGTAAGGCGGAGCTAGAGCAGCGATTGGAGGAGGAGGAGGAAGCCGTTCGGCTCCTATCGCGATTGGAGCAGAGTCTAGACGCGGCTGCTGACGTGGCAGCCGTTGAAAGCGCTGTCGCTGCCTTGCTGGCACCAGACGTGCGCGCCGTAGGCGGCGCGTCGGCTGTAGCGGATCGTGCGAGCAGCGCAAATGACGGAAACGAGCCTCGAGATGAAGCGCTTGCCACGGGAGCGAGAGCGAGAGACGCCGCTGTGACAGAAACGAGGGCACCGACAACAGCACCGATACAGTCACCTCTCCGCGTGCTGCTATCGGATCACCTGGCGGCCGTGTCGCAGCTGCTACTGCTCCGTCCGTACGACAATAGATCCCTTCTCTCCTCTTTTCACCCCTCCTGCTCTCTGCCTGCTGTCTCCCTCCATCTTAGCTGCCATCCCACTGCTGATACGAACTTTCTATCTCTATTTAGACCATTTGAGTCGAGTCAGAAATACATTTTTCTCTATCTCCCTTTAGCCCTTCCCCCTTACAGGGGCAGCGCCAGTGCCCCCCCTCCCCCCTTTCCAAGCCGCCCTCTCTCTGTCCTCCATCCCCTCTTCGTCGCCTCATCACCATCACTCTCCCCCTCATCCGTTCCCCCTCATCCGTTCCCCCTCATCCGTTCCCCCTCATCCGGTCCCTCTCATCCGGTCCCCCTCATCCGGTCCCTCTCATCCGGTCCCCCTCATCCGGTCCCTCTCATCCGGTCCCCCTCATCCGGTCCCTCTCATCCGGTCCCCCTCATCCGGTCCCTCTCATCCGGTCCCCCTCATCCGTTCCCTCTCATCCGGTCCCCCTCATCCGTTCCCTCTCATCCGGTCCCTCTCATCCGTTCCCTCTCATTCTTCGTCGCCTCATCCCCCTCAAAACCATCACCATCACTCTCCCTCTCATCCGGTCCCTCTCATCCGGCCCCCCTCATTCTTCCCTCGTACCCTCGCGCCAATCTCAGGGGCAGCGCCAGTCCTTCCCCCTTCCGCCCGCCGCGTTCTCCTGGACCCGCTCTTCCTCTCCGCACCCCTCCCCTCCGCGCTGGACGCCCTCCTCCCCCTCCTCTCCGCCTCCCCCTCCGCCTCCGCGTGCACTGACTCCGCGGACGAGGACTGGCGGGAAGGGGGAGATGGGGGAAGAAGAGGCATGGGGGAAGATGGTGGGGAGGAGAGTGAGGGGAAGGGTGGGGGCAGTGGCGGTGGCAGTGGCAGTGGCAGTGGCGGTAGGGATGGTGGGTTGTGGGTGACAGTGGCACAAGGAAAGAGAGGCAGCGTTGCACGCAGGGAAGCAGAGAGGTACGTGTGTTGGGGTGGGCAATCCATGGGCATGACGACTCATGAGAGCTGCTCTGAGAAATTTCTTTCTCCCTGCTGCCCTTGCCGTGTTCCCTTGCTCGATTTGTCTCTCTCCGTGTGGGGTCCCTTGGCTTGTCGAGGTGACTTTTGAGTCCACTCAAAAGTCACAAAAGAAGTCACCTCTTTCCGTGTGGGGTCCCTTTGCTTTTCCGTCGCCCTTTTCGCCCTTTTCTTCTCCAGACTTCTCCTCGTTGCCATTTTCGGCAGTGGCAGCGACACGAAGAGGAGCAAGTGCCGCAGCCAGGATGGGCACTTCTCCTCGGACGCTGAAGGACGGCTCAGGAACCCTCATGCACCGGACGTTGCAGGACTTGGGACCGTATCCCACCTAGGCGGATTGCCTAGGTTTCTGTTCCACCTGGAAACGGCTAGATGCGCATCAGCAGCAGCAGTGAACACGTCAGCAGCAGCGTCAGCCACGTCAGCAGGGTGGAGGGGGGAGCACAGCGTGGATCAGCTGGTGTCTCAGCTGGCATCTGTGCCCGACAGGGCATCGCCGCATGCTCCTCCCTCCCTGCACGCACCGTGCGTATGCAGCACACACCTATGTAGTAGATGCACATGTCATGTATGCACAGTATACACGTGTCATGTATGCACAGTATACACGTGTCATGTATGCACAGTATAAACGTGTCATGTATGCACAGTATACACGTGTCATGTATGCACAGTATACACGTGTCATGTGTGCACAGTATACACGTGTGTGTTTGTCTCCTTGTGCCCTGAGTAGAGGGGAGAGCACAGAGTGGATCAGCTGGTGTCGCAGCTGGCATCTGTGACTGACTGATTGAGCATCGCCGCAGCCGCATGCCCCTCCCTCCCTCCCTCCCTCCCTCCCTCCCTCCCTCCCTCCCTCCCTCCCTCCCTCCCTCCCTCCCTCCCTGCATGCACCTCGCGTCTCCAGCACAGCTGTGCAGCTATGCAACCCCTCCTGCGCTCTGCACATGCAATCCATGCAGCGAATTCCCCCAGAGCAAGAACGCACCGTCTGTCTCATGTTGCCATCACATAATCTCGCTTTTCCATACCACCCCCCTCACCCTCTCCTTCCGCTCTCCACCCATAATCTCCTCTCCTTCCGTCCCTTCTACCTGTATGTTCCTTCTCCCCCATCGCCCACCACCAGTCTCTTCACCTCGTTCCTGATCTGCCGAGCGTTCGCCACCACCACCGCTGCCATCGCTGCCACCGCTGCCATCGCTGCCACCGCTGCCATCGCTGCCACCGCTGCCATTGCTGCCACCGCTGCCATGGCTGCCTCTCGCCCCCCACAGCACCCTTGCTCTCTCCTCCCTCTCACCACGATCTTACGTTCTTGTCCCTTTTCCTTTGTCCGCTCTCCCCCATGCCCTCCACCAGTCTCTTCATCTCGTCCGTGATCAGCTGCGCGCTCACCACCGCTGCCGCCATCGCTGCCTGTCGCCCTTCCACTCAAACAGCCCCCTCGAGCCACCATGACAGCAGCAGCCCTGCCCCAATCCAGCCACGCACTGCTGTCTCCCCAGAGGCGTTTGTGGGGCTGCTGGCAGCTAGGCTGTGCCGCAGAGGGCACGCGGGTGCGTGGGGCATGCGGGTGATTGCATCGAGGGGAGAGTGCATGGTTATGTTGGTAGCGTGCATGTGAGAGGGTCTTCCTTCTTGCCCAACCTAAATTGCTTGCCTCACCCTCTCTTTCTATTCCCCCTGCAACTTCTCTCCCCCTCTCCTCCCTTCTTCTTCCCTTGCTGCGTGTGCCGCTGCTCTCTCAGCCACGGTGGCATCCGAGGTTGTCCACACAATCATCCGACAGCTGGCATACGCCACGTCAGCAGATCCACATGGCACCAGCAGCCCCACCACAACCACCACCCCCAGCAGCAACAGCAGCAGCAGCATTTTAAGCATCACGCCCTTCCCCCAGCTGGCCTCGCTCTACGTCGCCATCCTCTCCTCCCTGGCTGCGGCTGACTCCTTCGCCCTTCAGCAGCTAGCCGAGGCTGTTCTCACCCGCCTCGCTGCCTTTGCTGCTGCGCTTGGCACCAGTGGCGGCGGTGACAGCAGCAGCAGCAGCACTGGTGTGCCGGAGGCTGTGTTACAGCTGCTGTTTCGGGGCATGCTCATACAGCGGCAGTCCCAAGCAGTGTGAGTAGATGAGACATCGTCAAACGGCACAATCAGCAGAGTTTAGAGTACTGGCACTGTCATTTTCCTGAGTGCTCATAGGTATCTATCAACGTCTCACTTTCCGTCTGAATGTTGGCTGGTGGGAATAGATGCCAGCTTGCCTGGTTGATATAAATGACCCTATTCTTTCACGTACAGTGCCTAGTCGCTCTCTTAGTTTAACATACATTGCCTCCTCTGCTACTACTCCCCCCCCCCCTCCCCCTTTCCTCTCTTCCAATCGCTGCAGGTATCTCTTCACCTCTCACCTCCTCACTCGCTCCCTCCTCCCCCTCCCTTGCCTGCGCTGGCTCATTGCCCTTCTCTCCTCCTCCTCGTCTCCCCCTGCTGATGCCACCACTGCGCTCGAGCCAATGGGGCTGTGCCACGTGGCACTTGAGCACGTGCTGCGTCATTGGAGTTCCGCGGCTCTCGTCCAATCAGCTTCCATCGAGAGACAGATCTGTAAGTCAGCCCCCAACTCCACTGTCCTTCAGTCCTCCTCCCAGCTCCTCCTCTCCTCCCCCCCGCTCCTCCCCCCCGGCTGCCCACTGTTCACTGCCCTCACCACTCAGCCCACCTCACCTGTGCTATCTGCCTGCTCTTACCCGCTAAGCCCATGTTAATTTAGTCTTACCCGATCTTACCCATGTCGCCTTGGAGACGTGACAGCAGCAGCAGGGTTCGTGCTCTCCCTCCCCGTTTCACGCGCCCTCACCCGCATTCCCTCCCCCACCCCTCTTCGACTTCCCCTTGTGAGCAGGCATGACAGCAGCAGCAGGCTTCCTGCTCTCCCTGCCCCACCACTCCTGCCCTCCTGTGCCCATTTTTTGTGGCCGTACCGGCTTATCCTCCCCCCCCCCCCCTTTTCAACGTCCCCTTGTGAGCAGACGTGACAGCAGCAGCAGGTTTCCTGCTCTCCCTGCCCCACTGCCACCACCACCTTGAGCCTCAATGCGCACAACCACCCTCCTCCGCCCCCCTCTCCCCTTCACCCCTTCGGTTGCATCCGTCGCTGCTCACATTGATCCTCAAGGGCGTCTCTTGTAAGTGCACCAGACACACACACATGCCTTCCTGCTATTCTCCCCTTCAAGGAGCACCACTTGGTGGTAGTTATAGCCATACGTGCCATACATAGACGACTAAAAAATCTCTAGTAAGTGCACCACACACACCCACATGCCTTACTGCCCTTCTTCCCTTTGCCCCTTCACTCCTTCCTCCCCTTCTCCCCTCCCTCCCCGTCACCCTCGTTTTGAGGCGCGTCAAAACTACATCCCTGCACCTTGGATTGGATCCCTCTCTCATCACGCAGCTTCTTAAGAGCGTTCCTAGTAAGGGATGCTGCTTTGGGAGCTTGCAGTCCGAGCCCTAGCCCATTCCTTTATTTCTGTGCTCTGATGCACAGCACATTTTGAGTCGACTCAAATTTTGAGTGTAATGAGACTATTTTTTAGTCGACTCAAATTTTGAGTGTAATGAGATGAGAGTATTTTTTAGTCAACTCAAAATTTGAGTGTTATGAGACTATTTTTGAGTCGACTCAAATTTTGAGTGTAATGAGATGAGACTAATTTTGAGTCGACTCAAATTTTGAGTGTAATGAGACTATTTTTGAGTCGACTCAAATTTTGAGTGTAATGAGACTGTTTTTAGTCGACTCAAACTTTGAGTGTAATGAGACTATTTTTGAGTCGACTCAAATTTTGAGTGTAATGAGACTATTTTTGAGTCGACTCAATTTTTTTAGTGTAATGAGTCTATGTTTGAGTCGACTCAAATTGACAACTGCCTGATAGCTCAAACGATCGCTTTTGCTTTTTCTGTCACTGTCCACCCCAACCGGCCTCCATGCTGTTGGGGAGCTTGCGTTCCCTTCCCTTGCCTTCTCCTCCTTTCAACCCATCCCCCTCCTGCTCTTTTTTGTCTGTACTCTGGCGTGACAGTGCGCTTGGAAAACCCACTCCCTGTGGTGCTGCTGATGGCTCAGAGAATTGCGTTTGCCTTCTCTGTCACTGTTCACCCTGACCGCCCTCCCATGCTGTTTGGGGAGTTTGCCTCTTCTGGCCCTAACCCCTCCCCTCCCCACTCCCCTCCACTCCCCTCCCCACTACCCTCCCCACTCGCCTCCCCACTCCCCTCCCCACTCCCCTCCCCACTCCCCTCCCCACTCTCCTCCCCACTCCCCTCCCCACTCCCCTCCCCACTCCCCTCCCCACTCCCCTCCCCACTCCCCTCTCCACTCTCCGCCTGTGTTGTGTTGCGCAGTGCGCTTGGAGAGCCCTCTCCCCGTGGTGCGGCTGATGGCGCAACGGATCGCGTTTGCCTTCTCTGTCACCGTGCACCCTGACCGCCCTCCCATGCTCTTTGGGGAGTTTGCCTTTGAGGCGGGGATAGCAGGCAGGGAGGGGAAGGGGAAGGGGAGAGGAACAGGCTGGAGTAGTAAAGTGAGTGAAGGGAGTGAGGGGGTAGGAGAGGGAGAGGGGGAGGTGGTGGATGGTGGGGGGAGGAGGGAGGCGGCTGTTGCTGCTGCTCTGGACTTTGAACGCGGATGGGATGTTGGTGTAACGGGGCAGGCTTGTAGGGAGGACAAGGAGGGAGGGGATGGGAAGAGGAGGGATGGGGGAGGAGACAGGAAGGGGAGAGTGGAGGGGGAAGTCGAGGGAGAGTTGGGTGAGGAGGGAAGGGGGGAGGATGATAGTGAGGAGGAGAGTGGGGAGGAGAGTGGGGAGGAAAGTGGGGAGGAGAGTGGGGAGGAGAGTGGGGAGGAGAGTGGAGAGGAGAGTGGGGAAGAGTGGAGTGAGAAGGATTGGGATGAGGAGGAGGAATGTGAGGAAGAGGAAGAGGAAGAGGGCGGGGGGGGTGTGGCAGGTGGCGACGCGATGCCCATGCAGCTGCGATACTGTGCAGCGGACCTCAGGAAGGCGGATGATATTAATGCGGTGAGTGGGTGAGGGTGTGGTGAGTGGGTGATAAAGGAAGTAGCTTAGAGGAGAAAGGATTGAATTGAGTAGGGAGCCAAGAGGCTCTATTGTACAAAACAAGGAGCAAGGAAGAGTTGGAAGGGAAGCTCTCCTATTGGCCATAAAGTGGACCAATGGGAGAGGTTGCTTGTGGGGCAAGCAACCACAAACTGTGGTGCTCTCCTATTGGCCACAATGTGGGCCAATGGGAGAGGTTGCTTGGAAGGCAAGCAACCACAAAGTGTGGTGCTTGGTGATTGGTTGGTTCTTAGGACCAAGGACCATTTGGTTGGAATAGTGCCAACCAAATGTCTAAAACCAAATCCAAACTTGACCAACCCAAATGTGGGGTTGGTCAACCCAACCAACAACCCCCCAATAATTATAATGACTACACCTCCTAATCTAGGCATGCATGTTGTATAGATATATATTTTACAACAGGTGAAGGTGTGGTGAGTGGGTGAGGGTGTGGTGAGTGCGGTTGAGTGAAGCAGGTGGTGAGGCGATCCCCATGCAGCTGACATACTGTGCAGCGGACCACCTAAGGAAAGCTGATGATATTGATGCGGTGAGTGGGGTTTGGCAACACGGTGAGTGGAAGTTGATCGATGTGGTGAGGCAATGCGTATGCAGCTGACATACTGTGCAGTGGACCTAAGGAAAGCTGATGATGTCAGTGCGGGGAGTGGGGGTTGGCAGCACGGTGAGTGGGGGGGTAGATAAAGGTGGGGAGGCGACGCCCATGCAGCTGAGGTACTGTGTGCCGCGGACCTGAGAAAAGCTGACGATGTTGGCGCAGTGAGTTCTTATCAAAGCTTCGATTTAGCCTCCGTTAAATCCTCCAGTTAAGATTTCTTGCACTCCTTACCCATGCTTGAGCTGCCTTCCCCCTCTCTATGTGGATGTACCTGTTTGCTCACGCACACGTGCCTTAGTTAGTAGACGTCTCAAAACGAAATCACTAACAACTTAAGTTGAATCATTTAGTCAAAATTCCTTGCGCTCTGTACCCAACTCACGCTTGTGCTGCCTTCTCGCTCGGTGTGTGCATGCATGTGTGTACCTGTTTGCTCACTCACACACTTGCATTTGCATCCTTATTAATTAACAGATGGAGCGTGCGCTGCTGTCCCTCGAACCAATGGTCCGCTGCCAACCGGATGAGCTTGATGACGTGGCAGCTGAGCTGGCACGCTCCCTTATCCACATGCAATGCCAGTTTCTCCTCTCAGAGGAGGCAGAGGGAGAGGGGGAGGGAGGGGAGGAGGGAGAAGAGGGGAGTGGGAGCGAGGGTGAGGAGGACGGGGGAAAGGAGGGAGAAGGGGTGGAGCAGTGTGAGGTGGAAGAGTGGGGCCCAGGTGAAAAAAAGGGGAGCGGAAGAAGAAGAGGAAGCGGAGGAGGGGTCAGATGGCAAGGGCAGAAGCCGAGAGGAGCAGAGGCGAGGCGGAGAGCAGCGCTGGTGGCTCTGCTCGTCTTCTCCCCTGTGCCCTCCCTGGAGGTGCTGCTGGGGGAGGTGTTTTCTGCCCACGTGGACATGAGTCAGCGCCTGCTCATTCTCGATGTCATGGAGACAGCTGCCATCGAACTCGCCTCCTACTCCTCCCCCTCCCCCTCCCCCTCCTCCTCCTCCTCCCTCTCTTCCCTCTCAGTCTCCACTCTCTCTCACCCCATTTCTTCCTCCCTCCCCGTCTCTCGCTCCCACACTCCCCTCATAGTCGAGCTTCAGTCAGGCCCCACCCCCTGGCACCACCCCGCACACTCCCTCTCCCCCTCCCCTCCCGGTGCTGGATCCTGGGTTGAGCTGCCTGGGATTCTGCCTGGGGATCTCGGGCAGCCCGAGATGGCAAAGGCAATGTTAGCATCAGCTTCAGCAGCAGCGGGAGGAGGAGGGTTCGGCCTGACCGGGCTTACGGGCAGCTGGACGAAAAGTTTTGCGAGGGACCTACCCAGACGCCCTGGCGATCGCACCCTCGGGCAGATAACACGAGGCTCCAAGGTGATTGAATCAGCAAGAGAGAAGGAGCTAGGAAACAGCTGGCAGAACCAGCAGCACCAGCAGCACCAGCAGCACCAGCAGCAGCAGCAGCCACAGATTGTCGGGGTTTCGTCCAACAGTAGTGTTTCTTCTCCCCGTGTGCGATACGCTGACGTTGCAGCGGGGTTCATGCTGCCTTTGATGCGGGCGTATGACAGGCAGAGCCAGGGCGTGGACTGGGTGGGCCGGGACTTTGTTGTGCTGGGGCGCGTGCTGCTGCTGCTGGGGAAGTGCCTGCGCCTCGTGGCACCCTCACCTGCTGTGCTTCCTCTTTCGGCTTCCCTTCTGGAATTTATCAACGCCAGGTAAGGGAAGTGAAGGGGTTGGGGTGAAAGGAAGGTCTGTCAAGCCAGTGGACTGGGTGGGGCGGGACTTTGTTGTTCGCCTTGTCTCCCCCTCCCCTCCCGTCCCCTCCTCCCCCCTGGCCCCCACCGTACCCCAACCCCTTCCCACCGTTACCCCTCCCCCTCCCCTCTCCCTCACAGCCCCATATCCCTCCACCCAGAGCCCTACTTACTGAGCTGTGCAATCTTCACTGCTGCCTCAATCAGATGTGCCTTGATATCCCCCCCCCCCACTTCCAACCCGCCCTCGTCACCTCTTCCCCTTCCCCCCTTTCCTCCCACCCGCGCACTCTTCTCCTTCCCCCCCCCCCCCCTCTCTCCCAGAGCCCTACGTGCAACGTTGTGCAATCCTCGCTGCTGCCTCATTTTGATGTGGCACTTCCCTCCCCTTCCATTCCACCTTGCCCCTTCCCCTACCCCGACGGGCCCCCTTTTCGAACCCATTCGTCCCCTATCGCAGCCCCATCTCCCTCCACCCAGAGCCCTACGTGCAGCGCTGTGCAATCTTCACTGCAGCCTCACTCCTCCTCTCCCTGCCCCCTGCTGCGGTCGCTGCTGAGGGGCTCCTCCTCTCCTCTGCTGCCGCTGCTAGTAGTGCCGGAATCACCAGCTTTGGTGCTGCTGCTGCTGGTGCTGGTGGCCGTGTGGGACTGCCTGGGATGCTGGGAGCGGTGGCAGCATGGGTGGGGAGAATAGCAGAGGAGAGGGGGGACGAGCAGACGAAGGCAGTGAGTGCTTGCTGTTGTCGTGCTGTGCTGATGGTGGGCTGGCATGGGCGTGTTTGGGCCTGTATGCTTGACGTTTCTCATGTACTCCACATATTGTTAGACACTCGGCCAAAGAAATGGAGATTCGAGTCCAAAGGTAGAATGGTACTTCTCCAATTACCTCTGCCTACGTGTCTGCCTATGTGCGTCTTACCCCTCTCCCCTCCCTTTTTGTCAACCCCACGAACCCCCTGTATTCACTCTTCCTTACTGCCCTGCCCTGCCCTGCCCTTACTGCCCTGCATGGCTTCTCCAGATGGCCTTTGCATGCCTCCAGCTGTACGACGACTTCTCCAAGGCGTGCCTGCAGGCGGTGCTTGGCACGTCCGCATGACTTCTCATACACCGCTGATTTCTGGGGTGACTCTGCTCTAAGATGGTGCTTGTCAAATGGCCGTTGCGTGTCTTGAGCTATGATTCGGGCAGACTTCCAGGCAACTTGCACATCGTCCTTCCTCCTGACTCCTGAGTGACCTCACCTCACCCATCCATAAAAACTCTATGACATGATAGTCACAGACATGATACTAGTCCGGGGGTGAGGGGAGGATGATTGATTGTATGTTCAATTGACACACCCATTGCCTGCTCAATTGAGCCCCTAACAGACATTCGATTCTGTCGGTCAAGCAAGACCTCTGGGATGATAACAGCGAGAGTACCCTGTGTACAGATGCAGGTGATGTCATCGGTGCCTCTAAATTGTGTAAGGTCACTTGCCAGTATGCTTTAGTCTCATGAACTACAGTGTGTGACGGACAAGCTTTTCTCATCGAATGGCGTGACATGAAAACATTTAAGGTAGTATCTACACCCTAAACCCGAAACACAACTGCACGCCATTTGGTCATATGGAATCAGACATGCCTGCATACCGGTACGCTGTAAATGGGCAAAACATCCAGCCAGGCAGCTGTACCTGACGATTCCTGCACACAAGCGCCACGGCCTGCACCCGCATGCGGGTGGCAAATTGCGGCTGCACCCCTTCAGCAGTACTCCAGAGGGGGTGTGCACTGTGCACTGTGCACAGCTCGTGGATTTTTGAGTCGACTCAAAAATCGACTCATTACTGAGGGGGTGTGCACTGTGCACTGTGCACGGCTCGAGGAAAGCAGTGCAAAGCACCTGCGCCGCACCCACCCGCACACCACCCCATCCCACTTCTCCGTCGTACTCCTCCCTCACACTTCTCCCCCATCCCCTTATTAGCTCTCTCCCCTCACCCTGGCTCCCATCTGCTCACAACCATTAGCTGCTGCTCCAAGAGCCGGCCCTGCTGTCTGTTCTGTAGCCTCCAGCACGCATTATAAATATCACCTCTCCCTCACATCCTCCGGCTGCTGTTTCTCGAGTCCCCCTGTTCGCTGTCTCTGCGCCCGCTCCCTCCCACCTGGAGCTCCAGGGCCTTTCGCACCACGAGCTGCATGCGGTTCTGGTTCACAGCGCTCATAACCTGAAGGAAGGGCAGTTATGGGAGGGTGGTTATAAAATGGATGTTGCGTAGAGCCCTGCGCACCACCTGCTGCATGCAGTTCTGGTTCACAGCACTCATCACGTGCTCAAGGAGTTGAAAAAGGGGTGATACTAGTGAAGAATGGCTGTAAGCCTGTTTCAAGACAGTCCCACACATCACCTGCAGCTCCAGCACCTGTTGCACCACCAGCTGCTTATGGTTCTGTTTGCACTCGTCAGTTGCGTGGGCATAGGATAGTAACAGTAAGGGCAGCACGGCATTAATGCATCCAGCATCCAGCCAGCGTAATCATGCCAAGCTAATGGTGCATCAATCATCTCCCTTCTCATATGTCTTGCCTGCCCAATGGTCAGCCCGAATGTCTAACCTGCCCAATGGTCAGCCCGAATGTCTCACCTGCCCAATGGTCAGCCCGAATGTCTCACCTGCCCAATGGTCAGCCCGAATGTCTCACCTGCCCATTGGTCAGCCCGAATGTCTCACCTGCCCAATGGTCAGCCCGAATCTCCTCCTCAGGTGCCGTCTCCAAGCAAGCTGGATGGTTCTGGCAGCGTGCGTGCGCCGGTTGTGGCAGCACTCACTGCACAACGGGGCGGTCCAAGAGGGTGGGGAAATGGTAGACATAGGAGAGGGACGGGCAGTGAGACCTCTAGACCAGCTGAATGGTTTTGGCAGCATGCATACCAGCACTCACTCTACAGCAGAGTTGGAAAAAGTGGGGTGAGGGATTAAGTCGGGTGAGGGATAAAGTGGGGTGAGGGATGAAGTGGGTAGAGCGTTAGGGGAGCGGGGAGCGTTAGAGCACACCACTTACTTGAACCTAGAGAGCCACATGCCAAAGCAAGCAAGCAGACCGCATACTTTCGACCAGAACACCACGTACTTCAGAGCAGCCTGTAACTTGCTGGTGGAGAGCATTCTAGCGAGCGACGCCTGTTGCCTCTCCAGCTCTTACCCCTCGACGGCTCCGATGTCCGATGTGCCTTTTGAGTCGACTCAAAAGTCCCTCCGATGTCCGATGTGCTCCCACGAACAGGGCAGTTCCTCGAGTGCATCTCAACATTGCTACTGATTTTGAGGCGCCTCAAAACGTTACTCGAGTGCATCTGAACATTGCTACTGAACCAACTGGTGGCGAGCATTCTAGCAAACCGCCGGCACACCACCGCCATGTTCGTTGCCTCCAGCTCCTACCCCTCCACAGTTCCCATAAAAGCACTCCCACAATCATTATCAGCCCACCAACTCGAGTGCAACCTGAACCTTGCTACTAGAGAGCTTACTTCAGCGCTGCCTGAATCTTGCTGGTGGCGAGCATTCTAGCAAATTGGCGGCACACCACAGCCACGTCCGTTGCCTCGAGCTCGTACCCCTCCACGGGCCCGATGCACCTGACGGTGCGCTGCGCCGTCGGCAGCACGTCTATCGCTAGAGTGCCCAGCGCCGCTGCTGACGCTGATGCACTCGCTCCCATGGTCACGGCTGCATGGGAAGGAGACCAGGGAAGGGAAAGAGAAGAGGAGGGGAGACAAGAGGAGAGACGAGGGGGGGGGGTACAAAAGGGCAAAGAGACAACGAAGAAAAGAGAAACGGTTTGATGTGATTTAAGTCTAAAGCCACATCCGTTGACTCGAGCTCGTACCCCTTCATGGGCCCGATGCACCTGACGGTGCGCTGCGCCATTGGCAGCACACCTATCGCCAACGCGCCCAGTGCTGCTGCTGACGCTCATGCACTTGCTCCCATGGCCACGGCTGGATTTGAGTCGACTCAAAACCAGTGCTGCTGCTGACGCTCATGCACTTGCTCCCAGGGTTTTTGAGGCGCCTCAAAAATCGTCACTTGCTCCCATGGTCACAGCTGGAGGGGGAGAAGGGGATGGGGAATGGGGGATGGGGGATGGCGGATGGGAACAGTTAGGGAAGTGGGGAGAGGGTAAGGGGTGCCTATTGCAAGCAAGGTTCAAAAATACGGTTTTCGAAAAATACGGTCCGTATTATTCGGCCGTTTTTCTACGGGGATTTTTGGGAAAAAAAACGCCGTTTTTTTTAACCAACCTAGTTTTGCACAATTTTCACCGTTTTTTTCGTATTAAACGGCCGTTTAATTCGATACCGTTTAATACGGTATTTTTCTTTAAAAAACGGCGTTTTTTTAACCCTGATTGCAAGAGAGTCCAGCGCTGCTACTGATGCACTAGCTCCCATAGTGAAGGCTTCACGGGAGAAGGGGGCAGGGGATGGGAGATGAGGGACGGGGGGCAGGGGATGGGGGACTGGGAGTGGGGGGTTGGGGGAATGGGGGACAGGACAGGGTGAGGAGGCAGAGAAAAGGGTTCTATTGGCAATGTGCCCAGCGCTGCTGCTCACGGTGACACACTCGAACCCATGGTAACAGCTGCACGGGGAATGGGGAATGGGGAATGGGGAATGGGGAATGGGGAATGGGGAATGGGGGATGCGGAATGGGGGATGCGGAATGGGGGATGAGAAAGTCGTTTTTTTCCAATGTCAAACCTCAGCACGCATGCATGTGCTAGGGAAAGGTCAGCGCATATCAGAGCACAGGTCATTCACATTGCCCGCCCCCTTCCTCCTTTTCCCGCTCTCCCGGTCCAACAGCGTCTCCAGGTACTCCACCACCAGCTCCCCACCCAAAAAGTCCCCCTTCCCCTAGAATCACCTTACAAGAACGCACATGTCAGGTCAGGTCAGGTCAGGTCAGGTCAGGTCAGGTCAGGTCAGAGCAAAAGTCACTCACATCAGCCAAGATACCGAATGCTGGCTCCCCTCCGCCGTTTCCCGCTCTCCCTATCCAACAGCTTCTCCAGGTACTCCACCAGCAGCTCCTCGCCCAGGAAGCCCCCCTTCGACCAGGATTAACTTGCAAGAACACCTGTGGAAGGTTAGGTCAGTTCACAGGTCACTCACATCGTCCTAGGTACCGGATGCTGGCGCCTCTCCTCCGCTTCCCGCTCTCCCGGTCCGACAGCTTCTCCAGGTACTCCACCAGCAGCTCCTCGCCCAGGAAGTCCCCCTTCCCCAACAGCACACTGTCCACGAACCCCGCCCGCCCCCCGATGGTGGTGTAGCTCTCGAGCTGGCCCCGCAGCACGAAGAAGAGGCGCGAGACTGGGTACCCCTCTTTAAGGATGACGGTGCCCTCAATGTACAGCTGCTGCCGCAGCTTCTCACAGAAGGCGTCCAGGACTTGCGGCTCCATGGCGAAGAAGAGCGCCGACTGGAGAACGCGGGGTGGAAGGATGGGGAGGGGAAAGGAGGCACACATTGACTCAAGGGGCACCGGATACCCCACAGCTTCTTACAGAAGGCGTCCAGGAATTGGGGCTCCATGGCGAAGAAGAGCGCCAACTGGAGTAGGAAGAAGGGGGAGGGGGAAGGGAGAGAGGGGGGGGGAGAGGAGCAGGGGGGGGGAGAGGACAGTGTAGACGAGAATTAGGGGGGCAGAGGGTAATGGCGCGGAGCACGGTAATGTCGGGGCGCTACAAGGCGTTATTAAAAAACAGCACTCACACACTGCAGCAGCTCGAGGCAGAGGCTGCGGCGCACGTCGGTCTGAATGTCGTCCGAGAGCTTGTCCAGCACCTCCGCCTCCTCCACCCCCCTTGTCGCCACCCAGTGCAGCCGCTGCTGCTTCTGCACTCGTCTGCGGGAGAGAGAATGGGAGAGGGGGGGCGGGGGTTGGGAGATGGGGGGGGAGGGGAGAAGGGGAAGAAGAAGAGGACAGGAGTTGCAGACGAGTGAAATAGGGACCTTAATCACTCATGCATGCGCGTGTGAAAAACCACTGAGAAGGACGAGTTGCATTTTACTTCTAAGGACTTACAACACCACCCAGGAAATTTAAAAACAACAGAAGAAAATTTCAACAAACAGGAGAGCCCAGGTATTTGTAAGATCAAGATCCCATATAATCTCGGTGCTTGAGATTGAGATCTGAGACGCACTTTTGGAGGCTGAGGGGCAGGTTGCGGCGCTCCATCCAGGAGTCAATGTCATGGCGCTGCAGCTGGTACTCAAAGGACCTGGCGACAAGGGGGGGAGAGGGGGTGGTTGGGGAGGGGGGGGGGAGAGGGGGTGGGGGGAGAAGAGAAGGGGTGTGGGGGGGGAGAGAGGGGTTGGGAGGGGGAGGGAAGGAGGGACACAAGTCAATGTCATGGCGCTGCAGCTAGTACTCAAAGGACCTGCGTGGCATGGGAGAGAGGGGGGAGGGGAGGAGCAGTGCAATGGAAAGCCGAATGGGTCGTGGCTCGTAGGGAAATGAGGTGCCCAAGAAGAGGCGACTTTTGAGTCGATTCATAAGCCGAATGGGCCGTGGTTCGTAGGGAAATGAGGTGCCAAAAGAAGCAAAATGGTAACTCTGGGGTTAGGAAAGTGATGCACAAAGGAATATTCAGTTCAACGAATACCCACAGCTCGAACCTACGGCTCCAATTACAACTGTGAGCATTGAGGAATGTCTACCTTCTGCTGAGTGCTTGTAGGAAGTTGGAGATGTTGCCAATAAGCAGCGCGAGCAGGACGAGCCCCAGCCCTATAACGAGGATGACAAACAGAACCTCGGGATCCCACCTAGACGGCTCCAGGTTGCCTGCTAGAGTGCTCACTTGCTGTGGGGGTGTGACGGGAAGAAGAGAGGGGAAGAACGAGGGACATGGGAAGACCAACCCAAACACGCAAGTACGCCCAAGTCCAAGACAGAGGTGAACACACCTGGAAGGAAGCCCAACACAAGACACAGCTACGCACCTGGAAGGAAGCCCAACACACGACACAGATACGCACCTGGAAGCCCCACACAAGACACAGCTACGCACCTGGAAGCCCAACACAAGACACAGCTACGCACCTGGAAGCCCCACACACGACACAGATACGCACCTGGAAGCCCCACACAAAACACAGATACGCACCTGGAAGCCCAACACACGACACAGATACGCACCTGGAAGCCCAACACACGACACAGATACGCACCTGGAAGCCCCAGAAGAAGGAGTAGATGTACTTGGAGAGGAACGCCCCTTCCGCCACCAAGGGAACAGCAGTGGCGAAGATGCCGTAGTTGACAGACGGCGGGGGGACGTCCTCCGACTCCAACAGGCAGCTGCTGGCCGGCCCCGTGGCCCACGCCGCCTCTGTTGCAGGGTTCTGGTACGCTATGGAGGTGTGGTCCACGCAGTACATGTACTCCGGCTGGCAGGCAGCGCCCTGGGTTGCACAGCTGTCAGATAAACAAGTGGTGAAGCGCTGCAATGGGGGCGGGGGGATGGGGGGAGGGGGAGGGGCATGGAGGGGGTGCAGGGAGGGGATGGGAAATTTGAGCCGACGCCACTTCTGCTGTGGGGACCGGGGTTCAGGTACACTATGCCCGGTTATGGATGCAGCGAGGATGGACCGCATGCTGCCGACTACGTTGGACACCGTGAGTTAGAGCACAGATCCCAACAGGGGAGAGGGGTTGCCTGCGAGAGGGAGTTGCAGAGTGAGGAAAGGGGAATCGGGGAGGGGGGGGAAGATGTGGAGGGAAAGAGAACAAAGGTATGGGATGTGAGGAATGTGAACGAAAACTCACCAAAGCAGCAAAGGAAGTACCACATGCTGCTGACCACATCAGATGGAACACAAAGTTCAAGCGGGGGGAGTGTGGGTCTTTGACAGGGTGTTTCCCAGTAGGGCGGGGGGGTTGGGAGAGGAGGGGAAGCGAGGGGGGGGAGCAAGTGGGGGAAGCGAAAGGGGGGGGGGAGGGGGGAACTTGGGGCGAGACAGGACAGACAGGTTACAGACCCACTCACCGACTCAGCAAGAAAGTACCACATGCTGCCGACCACGCTGGGCTGGACGCCGTAAGATAGAAGAACACAGCACAATGCTCAAGCTGGGAAGAGGGGTTGTAAAAGGGTGCTTCAGAGTGGGGAGCGGGGGGGGATGTGGGTAGGACAGGACAGAAGGCCCACTCACCGACGCAGCAAGGAAGTACCACCACATGCTGCCAGGGAGAGAGGGTGGGGGAGAGCAGGGGAGGATGCGGTAGAGCGGGAAGTGCGAAGCACCCTTACCGATGCAGCGAGGAAGTACCACATGCTGCCGACGACGTTGGACGCCATGAGGTAGAACACAAAGTTGAGCATGAAGTTGGCCCAGGCGGTCTCAAACACAAGCCCCGTGACATGCGGCGCGTTGCCCGAGAGGATGGGGAAGAAGCGGATGGCGCGGGGAAGGTTTTGGGCAAAGAGGGCAGCGAGGCAGAGCACAGTCATTGCGACTCCGGTGTTGGACGGCACTGAGCGACCCATCATTGGCACTATCACCAGCATCACTATCTGGGGAGGGTGGGGGGGGGGGGGGAGGTGAAGGGGGAGAGTGTGTGGGGAACGGAAAATGTAAGCAAGGTGTGAGGCTGGGCAGAGAGGCGGAGCACTGTCATGGCGACGCCTGTGTTGGACGGCACTGAGCGACCCATCATGGGCATTATCACCTGCATCACTATCTGGAGACGGGGGTTGGTGCAAGGGAGGGGAAGGGGGGGAGGGGAGGGGTGGGGGGGGGGGGGGAGAGGAGGAGTGGAGGGAGTAGGGATAGAGCAGTGAGGCAGAGCACGGACATGGCAACGCCTGTGTTGGACGGCATTGAGCAACCCATCATGGGCACTATCACGGAAGGGAGGGGAGGGGAGGAAGGGGTTGGAGAGGGGGAAGAGGAGGGCGGGGGAGCGGACGGAGGAGTAAAGGGGTGGGAAGAGTTGGGGCCGGCGGGGGGTGGGGGGATTAGGGTTGGGGGGCATACAGACGAGGTGAAAGAAGACAGTCAGGCATAGGTAAGAGGTGTGCATGATGACCCGGTCGATGCATGAATACCAGGCGATTGAGGGGCGGAGGGGGAAAGCGGGGCGGAGGGGGGAAGCGGGGCGGAGGGGGGAAGCGGGGCGGAGGGGGGAGAGCGGGAATTAGTAGGCAAGGGTGTGAAAGCGGTGGGATAGGCAAGAGAGTATTTTGAGTCGACTCAAAATACACCAAGAGAGCACTGCACTGCGCAGGCTCGACAGGAATGGGCTGGGGGGCTAACAGGAGTGCAGAGGCACTACCTTCGGGACGGGAAGGATTGCCAGCATGTCAAAGAACAACCAGATATGCAGGTAGTGCCTGAGGAGGCAGCACCTGCACGAGGTCGTATGTGGGGTAGGTAGGTCTCACCTGCGGAATGGGCAGGGCAGCAAGCACGTCGATGACGAACCAGGAGCGCAGGTAGCGGCTGGCAATGACCCGCGCGTCAAACTCCAGGTCCCCCGGGCTCTGCAGGGAGCGGTCGGCCCACCAGCGGCGGAAGAAACGCTTCTTGCGGTTGGTGGGGGGCGGGACGATGTATGCCATGCGAAACTGGTGGGAGGGTGGTGGGGAGAGGGGGGGGAGAGGGGTTTTCCGGTTCAGGGAGAGAAAGAGTGTGCAACGCAGGGCTCTGCAGGGAGCAGTCAGCCCTCCAGCGGCGGAAGAAACGCTTCTTGCCGTTGGTTGGGGGAGGCGCAATGTATAACAGTGGTTGGTGGGAGATGGAGAGTTGTGGGGGAAGCACGTTTGGCGAGGTAGGAACTGGAGGCGGGGAAGTGTAACAGTGGTCAGCTACCTTGACGAGAACCTTAAAACAGGAGCTGGAAATTCTTGTACATCTGATTATCTGAAAAACGTGGCAGGGGGTCCATGTCCTGAATAACCTTAATATTTCCATTTACGATCGAGTAATTGTAACCGAGATATACACTTTTACTTTACCTGAATAACGATTTGAATAACGTAGCAGATGTCGACAATGGAGCGCAGCACACTGAAGGCGATGGCTGCTGTCCAATCGAGAGTGAGGCACAGCATGGCCTGAGGTGAGGTTTGGGGGCACAAACGGAGAGAGAGAATCAAGGTGACTTTTGGGTCGACTCAAAAGTCTTTTGAGTCGACTCAAAAATGGCCTAAGGTGAGGAATGGGGGCATAAACAGAGAGAGAACCCCGAGGAGACATTTAGTCGACTGAAAAGGCTCCAGTCCAGAGTGAGGCACAGCGCGGCCTGGTGAGGAAGCGGGTTATAAACGGAGAGAATTCAGAAGCCAAGAACCCGAGGATGCAGGCCACCATGAACACCTTGTTCCACTGCGCCATGAACTTGGAGAGCTGGGACGCGCCTCCACACACTCACTCCCTCACTCCATCTCTTACTCCCTCTCTCCCTCCCTCCCTCCCTCCCCCCCTCTCTCTTGCTCACCGGTTCCGGCGGCACTTGGTGCAGTGCCTGCAGGGTGAAGAGGAACCAGGGGTCGATGGTGAAGCCGAGGATGCACGCCACCATAAACATCTTGTTCCACTGCGCCATGAACTTGGAGTGCGGGTTCATGATGCCCCACGGCTGCCACAGCATGCTGATCGGCTGGAACAGGTCCTGTAAGTCCTCCCATGCCTTGGTCCATCGGGACTTCCGTTTCTTCCGCTTTGGCTGAGGTCAGCGTGAAATGGTTGAGGGTGGGGGGGAATGGTTGAGAGAGGAGGGAGAGGGTTCATGAAGCCCCACGGGGGCCACAGCTGCCACATCATGCTGATCGGCTGGAACAGGTCCTGCACGTCCTCCCACGCAAGGTCCATCGGGATGTACGCTTCTTCCGCTTTGGCTGAGGTGAGGATGAAAGGTGAGGATGAAAGGTGAGGGGAGAGGTGAGGGGAGAGGTGAGGATGAAAGGTGAGGGGAGAGGTGAGGATGAAAGGTGAGGATGAAAGGTGAGGATGAAAGGTGAGGATGAAAGGTGAGGATGAAAGGTGAGGATGAAAGGTGAGGATGAAAGGTGAGGGGAGAGGTGAGGGGAGAGGTGAGGATGAAAGGTGAGGGGAGAGGTGAGGATGAAAGGTGAGGATGAAAGGTGAGGATGAAAGGTGAGGATGAAAGGTGAGGGGAGAGGTGAGGGGAGAGGTGAGGATGAAAGGTGAGGGGAGAGGTGAGGATGAAAGGTGAGGGGAGAGGTGAGGGTTGGGGAGAGGGAGAGAGGGGGGTGATGACTCATGATGTCACACGGCTGGGCTGGAGCAGCATGCTGAGCGGCTGAACCACAAACACGTCCTGACTTTTGAGTCGACTCAAAAGCCATCTGGGGAGCAGCATGCTGAGCGGCTGAACCACAAACACGCCCTGCAAATACGTGAAGCAGGTGAGTCGACAGAACCGCACAGTCGTCCACTGCCCTGCTCCTCATAATTATGACACGGGGGAGCCACAGGCCACACCTTGGATAGGGGGGAGCCACAGGCCACACCTTGGATAGGGGGGGGCCACGGGCCGCACCTTGAATAGGAGGCAGCCACGGAGCCTCGCCTTGATTTTGTTTTGTTAGAATTCCCACAAAGCAACTAGCCTCACCTTGGACAGGGGGGAGCCAAGGTCCCACGCAGCCTCACCTTGGATAGGGGGGGGCTACCTACGGTACCGACCCTCACCTTGGACGTATACGTGAAGCAGGTGACCCCACAGAACCGCACGATCGTCCTCTGGCCCTGCTCCGCGTCGTAGTCATACCCATACTCGTCGTCATCGTCTGCTTTTGAGTCGACTCAAAAGCAGTCACCTTAGACGGGGGGGGGGGGAGGGGGGGGAGCTAGCTACGGAGCCTCACCTTGGACGTATACGTGAAGCAGGTGACCCCACAGAAGCGCACGATCGTCCTCTGGCCCTGCTCCGCGTCGTAGTCATACCCATACTCATCGTCATCGTCGTCATCATCATCATCAAAGCTATAGTCGCTATCATCATCATCCCCTCCGCCTCCTCTTCCTCCCCCACCCCCCCGCCTCGTCGGCCTTGCCATGGGTTCCGGAAACTCGTCTATGACCTGCGCCATGAGCTTCTTATTCCGCAACGCGTGCATTTCAGGCGGGCACGCGTTGCACGTCGGGTCCATGCACATCATCATGGACTTCTGCACTTTTTTCGTCGCTTGAGTGGGGCCAGCAGCCGTCGGGGTCATTGGCCCCCCTTGGCTGACGGACCCTGGGAGTTGTAAGCCCGTGGGTTTTGAGAAGCCGGATGCGAATTGGACGGACATGCGGCGCTGCCGCGCGGCTGCTGCTGCGGCGCTGCCCGGAGTGAGCATCTGGCGCAATCCCCCCGCGCCTGGGGTCCCTCCCCCTATGGAGTCGTGGCGCTGGCGGCGGAACTGCCCGGATGCGTCTTGGGGGATGCTGTCCGAGCCTGTTATAGCGATGACAGAGGAGGAGACCTTATAATTAGAGAGACGGAGGGCTTCGATCAGGAGCGATATCATGGATTCTCGAGGAAGGGAGGGGGCGAGAGAGACGGTAAGCGAGACGAGACGAAGGGAAGCTGAAGGAGAGCTAAAGGAGACAGTTCGTTCGCCCGAACGGACCTGAAACGCTCGGGTGGTTGGGCCGAGTGAAGATTGCAGACGCAGTCGTCCGCGCGCGGCGGACGTTAGGTTTGGCCGCCATCAAGCCTTACAAGGGAAGCTAAAGTAGGAGAGGTGGAGACGGACCTGAAACGCTCGGGTGGTTGGGCCGAGTGAAGATCGCCGAAGCAGTCGTTCGCGCGCGGCGAACGTTAGGCTTGGCCGTCATCAAGTCCGGAGCTTCGGACGACAGCGCGCGGGAATGACGCGGCTTTGAGGGAGGAGCTGGGGCCGGGGCCGGGGCCTCGGTCGGGGCTGGGGTGTCGAACTTTACCCTTCTCTCCCCTCCTCCGCCTCCGCCGCCGCCGCCACTCCCGCCGCTGATTCCGCCGCTAATCACGCCGCTGAGCCCGCCGCTAAAGCCGACACCTGCTATATCTCCAGCAACCCCTCCTAAGCTTCCGCTTCCGGGTATATGCCCCCCTCCTAAACTTCCGCTTCCGGGTATATGTCCCCCTCCGCCCCCTACGCTCCCCCCTCGGCCGGGTTTCCAGGCGGAGCTCTCGGAGCGAGGAATTTCGCTGGAGCCTCCCAGGAGGCCCACGCCGCTTCCCATGGATCCCGCCTCCGACTCCGGGGAGTCGTCCGAATCTGAATCGTCTCCGTCGTCGTTCCATGACAAGCCGCCTATCCGAGCCGGGAACTTAGGCTGGGGGAAATCCATATTGCACCGAGCCTAACGAGATGTTTGAATGACGAAGCCTTATGTTCGGGTAACTGCTTAATGTAAGGCTGGCAGCATTGTACGCGCTAACAGCTTAGATAGGGCTAGTACTCTGATTGACATGACTACGAGGACTCCAGCGCTGGCTGTTCAAACGGGTCCGTTCTATGGCCACTCGGAGATAATCTGAATTTCGCGCGAAGGAATACTGAAGTTAATTTGAATTTTGCGAAATGGGAATACTGCTACTGTTGGTGTTGCCCATGTATCATACTAGTAGTACTAACCTGAGCATAGGGTTGTGCATTGTACTGTGGCTGATCGGTACGGCAAACTGCGGTTCCACTGGGCAATGGCTGCAGGTTGCTGGTTCAGGGTTTCGTATCTATTTGCGAACTAATCAAACACTTTTCGAGAAGATGGTTCCCTCCTCACGATGAAAAGCTTACGGAAGCGAAAGAGCATGACACGCGCACATTACGGCGTAGGTGAAAGCGTGAAAATTAAGGCGCCAATGAAGGTAATGCTACCACCCTAAAGGAGACCTCACGCATTGAGAATCCCGTCATCAGTGATGGTCGTGGAAAGGAAACCAGCAGCCCTGAAAGGCCGAAGTGGCAGCCTCAAAAGAAGCCCAGGGAGGGAGCTAGACGTGGAGTGCAGAGCAGAGTAATGCAATAAAGGCCAGGAGAGATGAGCAGGAGGCCCAAGGCCTGGCAGTGGTGTGGTACTGTTTGGTGATAAATGCTAGGCCCAAGTCCTGATAGTTGATTAGGGCAGGTGGGGATGATCCCAAGGGTGGAGCGGTTGGTGGATCAGTGCCGCCACTGCTGGCAGCATAGATGAAACCGAGGGTGCGGACAAACACCAAGATAATGACGGCTGGTACACCAACGGAAATTGTTTCTCAGACCCCTATGGCTATGACTTGCAGTATGTTCATCATACAAGGTAAGCTCAACTTTATTTAATGCTTTCAAAGGTCCAATGATCTTTACTCCCATATCAACAGTGGCTTGAGATATCTGTTCATGTGCTTCACTTCAGAAACGATTCTAGCTGTGAGATTGGGATGGATCACGGAATGGTCAGGAGACCATAACTCGGTTGAGCGTGCCATCTCTCGGCTCCTGCTCACCTCGTTCGTGGCTTGGAAACGAAGATCTGGTTCTTGATACACCAATGCCACCTGTATTTTACGCAAAGTGAGATAAACAGTAAGTGCAGCAAATGTTTGGAGCATGCACCATCTATCACGACAGAGAAGCGAACCGGGGGGAAGGAGACAGCACAGTTGGAGTGTGGACGGGAGTAGGAGACAAGACAACTAAGGGAGGGGAAAAGAGACGAGAAAGCAAAAAAAAACCTTCGCAGGCAGAAAAGAAATCACATACCTGATGGCCCGAGAGCCACACATGCTGGCAGAGGTCCCAATCCGAGAGTGCATCCACGCCCCCATCAACCGCACTGAACCCCCCCACCTTCACAAACACATCTCGCCGCACCGCCATGGGCCCTGTGACCGTGCCCAGCACAAAGCTCATCCTCACCCCCGTCACCGGATCCCTCAACCGATTCCAAAACTGGTCCCACGCGTTCCGCACCTCCCCCAGCTGCAGGCTTCCCGGAACGTTCCTCAGCCCCATCTTCCCCATGGCGTGCCCGGCTATCCCCAGCCGGGGCCAGGCGGAGAAAGGCGAGACGAGATTCGCCGCCCAGGCGCAGGAGTCGGGTGGCAGATCGCCGCCCGAGAGGAGGATGAGTATGGAGCCGCGGGCGAGGAGGGAGAGGAGGTTGTAGGCGCGGGCTGCGCCCATGCGGGACGGGGCGAGGATGTGCGTGAGGAAGGCACCAGGGGAGCTTCGCTGGGTGGCTTGGATCCACTCCGAGGGGTTGTAGTACTTCTCAAAACCAGGGATGGTGCCTGGTATGGCTTCGGTGCTGTTGCTGCTCCCACCACCACCACCACCACCACCACCACCAGCATTGCTACTGCTGCTGCTGCCACCAACACCACTGCTGCTGCTACTATTCCCACTGCCGCTCTCTCCATCTCCTGACCTTTTTGAACTGCGGACCATGGCAGAAGCATGGTGTAGCGGAATGGACGGACCATCTATAAGCACTAGCGCTTCAGACGTCAATCCCCCCAACTGCCCCCCAATGGTGCCCGCCTTGAGCCTGCCCTGTGTGCACTCGAAGAGCTTTGAGACCAGATCTAGGGTCGACGTGGTGGGGGGTGACGTGTAGATGAGGAACGAGATGTTCACTGCAGCTGCTGATGTGGCGGCTGCTGACGTGGCAGAGTCGGTGGATGAGCTGGCGCTTGCTGATGATGAGGCAGACGAGCTGGAGGGTGCAGTGGAGTTGGCATGGGCGTCAGCAGCAGCTGTAGCAGCAGCTGTAGCAGCGGCTGTAGCCACAGAATCAGCACCTGCTACAGTCGCCTGAGCTGTAGCTGGTGATAGCGAGGCAGGTGAGAGCAAGGAGGAGGAGGAGGAGGAGGAGGAGGAGGAGGAGGGTGAGAAAGGGGAGGAGGCGGGAGAATTGAAGGCGTAGGAGTGAGGGAAGGAGGGGAAGGCGGAAGGATGGCTGGAGAAGGGAAGGCCCCACAGGGGTTGCTGCCAGAGAGCAGAGGGGGCTAAGGGACCTGATAGGGGGTCTGACTTATCGTCCCGTGCCCCGTTCACTTGACTCAATAGCTCACCAACAGCTGTCTGCGCCTTCCCATTTTCCCCTTCCCCGCCCTTCTCTTCTCCTCCTCCCTCTCCTCCCATTCCTTTGGCTTCCTCTCCTTCCCCTGATCTGCCCCTGTCTGTGGTTTTCCCCCTACTCTCTTCGTCTGTTATCCTATTGGCCAGTGCACAGGGTGACACGTCAGCACCGTCAGGCCTCACCCACGAGGCGCTGACGTGGCACAGCTCTGGAAGCTTCCCCTTTGCTTCCTTCACTGCAGCGGCAGCGCGCTCGGTGTCAGCTCTAAGAGCCGAAAATGTTTCGTTCTGAGTGCTAACTAAGTGCTGCATGGATGAGATACGTGAGGGGTGGTGGTCCATGGAGAGGAAGATCGAAGGGAAGTGGGCTGCAGAAAAGAATAGGTCAGACCACAGAGATGCTTCTGCAGGACACAAGGGGAGGGACGGGGGGTGGGCGGAGGGAGAGAGGGGGTGGAGGTGATGTTGGAGGAGATACGTGAGGGGTGGTGGTCTATGGAGAGGAAGATCGAAGGGAAGTGGGCTGCAGAGAAGAGTAGATTAGACCACAGAGATGCTTCCGCAGGACACCAGGGGAGGGACGGGGAGGAGGAGTCGGCACGGGGGTGGCAGGGGGGGAGAGAGGGGGGAGGGAGAGGGGAGGGGGAGGGGAGGAGGAGGGTGGGAGAAAGGGGTGTTTGAAGGGATGTAGGTGCGGTGGAGATGGATGGAAATGAGAAGCGAAGGGAAGTCGGAGCACGAAGGATTTGAGAGGATTTGTGGGAGGGATGGCGGTGGTCAACAGGGGGCGAGCGGAAAGGAAGTGGGATGGGTAGACTACGACATTGGAATGATGTTGCTGGATGAGTGGGACAGGAGGTGATTTTTGAGTCGACTAAAAAATCACCTTTTGAGTTGACTAAAAAATCACCTATGGAAAGGAAGCGGGATGCGCAGACTACGACACTGGCATGCTGTTGCTGGGTGGGTGGGACAGACGCACCAGTGGGTTTAGGGTGGAAAGTAAATATTATCTTTCAGCAGGAGGAGTGAGTGGCCATACCAGCAGCTGCCGCTGCTGCTCCTCCTGCAGTCCAGACAATGCACCAACGATGCACTCTGTCCCCGCTGCCCGCCTTGTCCCCATTGCCTGCCTTGACCCCGTTGTCTGCTGTCGAGCGACTTCCTAACATTCTCACAAATCGCCGCCAGTGCAAATAACCTGAACCTGCCAAATGAGCAGGGTTTGTAACTCTCCACGTGGTTCAAAGGCAGAGACGAAGGCCTCTCGTGCAGCAGGCGAGGCCATAAGCAGCTGCTGCTGCAGCTGCTGCTGCTCCTCCCTCAGTCGCTTCACTCTGTCCCCACTGTCTGGCTGCTTGGGCACTGTCAGCACTGTTCGAGATGATGGGAGATATACTTCCTTACGAGGAGCTTCTAGCTTTGAGAGAAAGGCGTCCCTTGCTGCAGGAGAGGCCAGCAGGTGGTGCTGCTCCTCCCGCAGGCGCTTCACACTTTCCCCACTACCTGGCTGCTTGGGCACTGCCAGCACTGTTCCAGTCGTCCGGGGAGATATGATATTCTTACTCACCAGCAGCTTCCAGCTTTGAGAGAAAGGCGTCCCTTGCTGCAGGCGAGGCCAGCAGCTGCTGCTGCTCCTCCCTCAAACGCTTCACTCTGTCCCCGCTGCCTGGCTGCTTCAGCACTGCCAGCGCCGCTGCTCGCAACGAGAGCACTGAATGTGCGGCAAGGGATGCCTGGAGGGCTGATGGGAGGAGGGGAAGGGGAAGGAACACACACAGGAATGAGGGGATCTCATCTCAGTGAGTGACATGACATGACATGACATGACATGACATGCACAAACTGACTTTTGAGTCGGACTCAAAAGTCTGCCAGCGCCGCTGCTCGCAACGACAGCACTGAATGTGCGGCTGATGGGAGAAGGGCAACACACAGGCAGGAATGAGGGGATGCGCCTCAAAAACCTTGAGGAGCCTAAAAAATAGAGAGCACTGAATGTGCGGCCAGAGATGCCTGGAGGGCTGATGGGCGAAGGGGAAGACACAGGCAGGAACGAGGGGATCGATTTTTGAGGCGCCTCACAAATAGAGAGCACTGAATGTGCGGCCAGAGATGCCTGGAGGGCTGATGGGCGAAGGGGAAGACACAGGCAGGAACGAGGGGATCGATTTTTGAGGCGCCTCACAAATAGAGAGCACTGAATGTGCGGCCAGGGATGCCTGGAGGACTGATGGGAGGAGTGGGACACACACAGGAATGAGGGGGTCTCAGTGAGTGACATGACATGACATGCACAAAGATCGTCAGCCAGCACAGTCGCTGGATTTTATCTTCGCACCAGATAGACGGAGGGAGTTGACAACACGTTGAGGAAAGGGGGCATGACGGAATGTATAGGACCTCTGTGCCAGCAATTTGCTTCAACCAGCAATACCCTATACCACCAAGGTCACAAGTTCTCTCACAACCACCAACTGACTGTGGTAATTGTCGTGGTGAGAGCGTGTCACGTGAGAGGAGGTGCTGCCTGCCTGGTGGCGAGCGGAGGAAAGCGCCACAAGTTCTCTCACAACCACCACCTGACTCTGGTATGCCTATCAGCACCTCCTCTTGGGGGGGGCTGCCTGCTTGTAATCACGTTGCTGGCCCGCATGTTGGGGTATCATCCCCTTCCTCGAGAGCATTTGCGCCTGCTGGTCCCACCCTTTGTCGGTGCATCTGCTGGTCCCTTCCTTCCCTTATAATCACCTTGTCGGTGCATCTGCTGGTCCCTTCCTTCCCTTATAATCACCTTGTCGGTGCACCTGCTGGGCCTCCTGGGCTTGCTGCAGCAAAGCAGCACACCGGGAAAACTGCTGTCGCAGGGCAGCATGCGCTGCTCGCTCTATCTCCTCGCGCAAGGACAGCACGCGCACCTGTGGGCGTTGGGTGTGGGTGGATGCGTGGGATAAAATTCGTGTTTTGAGACATCTCAAAAAACGAACCGCTGGGTGTTGGGCGTGGGTGGGTGCGTGTCTCAAAACGCGAATTGCTGTCGTGGGTCTGCATGCGCTGCTCGCTCTATCTCCTCCCGCAGCCACGCTTTCTCACCTGTGCTCGAGCCACCAGCTCCTCCTCCTTGGCATCAACGTCTGGTCGTCGTCTCAATGATGCTGCAGCAATCTCCTTCAACTCTGGCGGTGGTGATGGCAGGCCCCTGTCGTCCACATAGAAGGTCAGGGCACGCTCGTCCTGCACCAGCTTGATCTCCTGCTTGGGAAAGGGATTTAAGAGGAGCAAAAAGAGAACGTCAGTAAAGAGTGAGTGGTGGGGGGGGTGGCAGGTCCTTGTCTGTCGTCTGCCGCATACAAGGTCGGCACCAACGGCATCGTGTGCCGCAGCTTCCCCAGTGCTTTGCGGAGCACGGTGCTTTGCACAAGAAGATAGCACGCGCAAGCTGGTTTCGAGACACCCCAAAACCGTTTTTTGCACAAGAAGATAGGACGTAAGCACTTGTTGGTTCCGTGGTGCCTCTGCTTGTTGTCGCACCTTGAGAACGCTCGTCAGCTGGGCCATCCTGGTCCGTGCCTCCAGGGTCATTGTCGGACCCTGAAAAACCTTCTGCGCTTCCCCAATGCATTGCGGAGCTCTGAGCAGAGCAAGATGAGAGGACACAAGCCGTGGGTGGTTCCTCTGACTTGGATGAATGGACCAAGCTATGAATAAACCATGCGTGAGGAGTCTATTTTTTAGGCGCCTCAAAAATAGACTCCTCATGCATGGTTTTTTTAGGCGCCTCAAGGTGAGAGAACACAAGCAGTGGGTGGTTCCTCTGACTTGGATGAATGGACCAAGTCATACCGCAACACACCTTGAGAACGCTCGTCAGCTGGGCCATCCTGGTCCGTGTCCCCAGCAGCACCGTCTGCCGCAGAATTCCCAGCGCATTTCATGTCGGAGCTCAACCTTCTGCAGGCGAACTTCCAGAGGCGCCTAAAAAAGAGTCCATCTTCTACAGGAGCAGCTCCTGTGCTTTGCAATCACGCCATGCCGTGCCACTGAGAACGCACCTTGAGAATGCTCTTCAGCTGGGCCATCCGTGCTTTAGCCTCCACCACGATTGTCTGCCACAGCTTCCCCAGCGCGTTGCGCAGCTCCGTGTTCTGCAGGAGAAGCCCCTCTGCTGACACTAAGCCGTGGTTACTGCTTGTTGACGCACCTTGAGAATGCTCTTCAGCTGGGCCATCCGTGTCCGAGTCCTTGTCTGCCGCAGCCCCAGTGCGTTGCGGAGCCCTGTGCTCCGCACTGCAGGAGAAGCCCCTCTGCTGTGGATCCAGCCATGCCGTGCCATGCGACTGAGATGAGAACGCACGTTGAGAATGCTCTTGAGCTGGGCCATCCGTGCTTTAGCCTCCAGCATCATCGTCTGCCGCAGCTTCCCCAGCGAACTGCGCAGCTCCGTGTTCTGCAGGAGAAGCCCCTCTGCTGTGGATCCAGCCATGCCGTGCCATGCAACTGAGATGAGAACGCACCTTGAGAATGCTCTTGAGCTGGGCCATCCGTGCTTTAGCCTCCAGCATCATCGTCTGCCGCAGCTTCCCCAGGTTGTTGCGCAGCTCCGTGTTCTGCAGGAGAAGCTCCTCTGCTGACATCTGGCTGCCAGCAGCGTCCCATTTCCACGTGGCGTTGCTGACAGCAGCCACGTCAGCAGCCGATGAAGCAGCAGCTGCTGCCACGTTGGCAGCATCAGCAGAAGCTGAAATGGGCATGGAAACGCCACCACCAGCACCAGCAGCAGAAGCTGCAGCAGCAGTTGCAGCAGCAGTTGTAGCAGTGGAGGGTGAGAAAGCACTTGAGGAGGAGAGAGAGGTGGTTGCTTCACCAGAGGAAGGGAGAGGAGGCAATACCTGCAGAATAAGAGGGAGAGGAGATAGGGGCTTGAGAACCGAAGCAGAGGAGAAGGTGCTGCTGAAATGAGATGACGGCGGGAGCCATGCGATGAGATGATGGGGGGAGCCATGCGATGAGATGATGGGGGGAGCCATGCGATGAGATGATGGGGGGAGCCATGCGATGAGATGATGGGGGGAGCCATGCGATGAGATGATGGGGGGGGCCATGCGATGAGATGATGGGGGGAGCCATGCGATGAGATGATGGGGGGAGCCATGCGATGAGATGATGGGGGGAGCCATGCGATGAGATGATGGGGGGAGCCATGCGATGAGATGATGAGGGGAGCCATGCGATGAGATGATGGGGGGAGCCATGCGATGAGATGATGGGGGGAGCCATGCGATGAGATGATGGGGGGAGCCATGCGATGAGATGGTGGGGGGAGCCATGCGATGAGATGATGGGGGGAGCCATGCGATGAGATGATGAGGGGAGCCATGCGATGAGATGATGGGGGGAGCCATGCGATGAGATGATGGGGGGAGCCATGCGATGAGATGATGGGGGGAGCCATGCGATGAGATGATGGGGGGAGCCATGCGATGGAAGCAGGCAAGAGAGCCATGAGACGACATGAAGCGGGACTTCTAGTTTTTTCGGGACGAGCGGGAAAGAGACTGCCTTGGGGCGAAAAAAGGTGCGAAGGAGGAAGGGGACGGAGGGCGAAGCAGTGAGAGGGATGCGACGAGAGGGAAGCAACGAGAGGGATGCGACGAGAGGGATGCGACGAGAGGAGAGAAATGAGGGGAAAACGGCACTCACTGCGGGTATTACGGAAGCAGCAAGGAGTCCCCCCAGAAGCGAGCCAATGAAAAGCGACGCAGCCCAGCCGACAGCTGTCCGCCTGTGATTGGAGGGACGGTGGGGATCAATATGGAAGGCGACAGCTGGACAAGGACGCACGGGACGCGGACGTGTTGAGCTGACAGCAAGCATTACGGAGTGGCGCTGAGGCCCTACGAAGGTAAACGGAACGAATAACGAATTCTAGAGGACTCTGCGCAGCGAAGCACGGAAAATATGTCGCCAGAACGTCCTCAAAACGTATCTTGACGGAGTTGCTATTTGAGAATTCGAAAAACGTCAATTGTCGCCAGAACGTTTCCGTACCTTGACGGAGCGTCGTCAGAACCCCTGGACCTCACTGACAGTGCAGCGGGCCTCGTTACAGCGGGCTTCGTTACGTTAGCACCACTCGTTAGCGACGCACCGCTTGCTAGAGCAGTACGAGTGGAACTACCCCGCCCTTGACCGACGCCGACGGACTGCATCTTCGCGTCCGTTCTCTTAAGAGGGGGAAAATAATAACAAGCGAAAAGTCGGGTTATTTCATCTTGTTACAGCGGACGACGCGGAGAATCCCTTTGTACCGGGTGTTTAATTCTACTCAAAAATTGGCTTCTACGCGGAGAACCCCTTGTACCCCTTGTAAATGCTGCGAAATGCAACCACAAAGGTGAGCGGACATGGCGGCGAAACCAGCAGCCGCCATGGGTTGCCAGAAAGAAACTGACGTTGTTTGTGACCTATGGGGGATGCTTCCAGACCATTGTGCTGAAATCGAGGAGGTCATTGTCTGTTGATGAAACACTTCACACAGCATTACTGTACAAACTTTCTGTATGAGCAATATGGCAGCTAGCAATACATACAATATGCATTCACCTAGGTGCCCTCTAAAACTTATGGAGATTCGTTGTTCAGAAAACCCACCGCACTAGTTCTTCATTTTACCATTCTCTATACATTATCCATCTCAAACACCCCGGCTAAGCCCTTGTTGAGCTCAGCTCCTAGTGAAAGCAAGTCCTTCACAAGACCCACACTATCATCTACAACTTCAACCCTAGAACTCTCACATCCTCTTCCAACCCGCTTGTCCTTAAAGTTCCCCTACGTTCCTCTAGGGGTATCTTTGCCCCTTGCTCAGGTTTTCCTCGTCTCTTCCAGCGGAGAGTAGGTGTCATTCGCAAGCAGTGCACTCCTCTCACTGGTAAACCTTATGAGGCCAAGGTTGGAGGAAGTTTGAACATGGCTGAGCTGTGTCTGCACAGAAGTTGTTCTTTCACTTCATACTTACAGAAACAATGCACAAAGCAGCCTACCGCACCACATACCCCCCTACCACTTGGTACCCGTTCAACCCCATCCAGGGCTTGTCTAGCGCCTTACAAGCGCCTCCTTACAGCAGAATAAACTACTGGATAGTAGCTCCTGAAACTCTCCTGAAGCAAGTATTTTCATGCTGCTGCCTTGCCCTCTTGTGAAACCCCAGATTCTGGTTTGGCAGCTCCCGATATTTGTAACGATTCCGGTTTCCCGATTTCAGCCATTTCGTCAACCGATTTCGTGAGGAAATTAAATACTTCTTCGTTCCACGGCTGGTTACCACTCGCCGGACACGGCGCCTTGAAATCCGTCGCAAGCCAAGCGTCCACAATCTCTTGCCCTTTCTCCGGGGAGGTCTGAAACTGGCCCATGCAGAGTACGTTACAGTTGTTGATCGACCTGGCATTCTTCGCCACGTCAGCACTGTCGCACAGAACAGCGTACACTGTCGGGATTTTATTCGCGAAAACTGTAACGCCGGTGCCGGTGCCGCACACGAGCAGCCCGCGCGTGTCGTATGGAGGAGAATCTGTCGCTGAGCGACCAGCAGCGACGCTTTTGGCGACGCGTTCACCCGCGGTGTAGTACTTGTCTTCGCCGTAATCTTCAACCTGGATGCCTTTCGAGCGAAGATAACTGACCATGGCGGTTCTAAGAATCGCTCCGTAGGAATCAGATGCCGCGAAGATACGAAGCGCCGGCTTGGCGGGCTCCATGCTTGTTCCGAGCTGACTTGAGTTTAGGTCGGTGGTACTATTGTCTAGCTTTCCGTTGGTAAATCAGCGACACCGTGAGTACAGGAAAGCTCGGCGGCTAAAATTTCGAGATTCCGGCGAGACGACGTGGTCAGACTAGAAGCAACGAGAAGAACGAGAAGAAACGCGGGAAGAAACTACGAAAACAAAGCCAATTAGGGAAAGGGAGGAGAGTTACAGATGAAGGCTGACCTCCCAAGAACATCGCGAGCAGGAGAGCACTTGAGAAAGACAAAGGCGGGTTCATTAGATGAATTGCCTTCCAGCTCTCAGAGTACTTGCAATACAGTCCGTTCCTGACCCCTGTGCTGAGCTGTTTTCATAAGTGCTCACTTTCAATACCTGACCCGGGATTCGAATTTGGATTAAGAAAGCCATGTGGATGCGCTCCAGAAATGACCCGATTTCAGCCGTCAGGAGCTGGAGAACAGGACACGTGGATAGAACTTTCCGCAGTTCATTGGCCAGCGACAGCATCAACAAAGAAGAAGCCAGGTCACTCAGCCAGCATGGCAAAAGCACAGGATTACCGCCTCCGTGTCCCCAAAATCTCGTAGGACCAGCATGCGGCAAGAGCTAGGATTCGTCGATCAGTGCTGAGACTGCGTTGACCACAGAATCGCGTTATACGGCTTTTATGGGTTCAGGTAAGACGAACTCGAAGAATACTGACTACTTTGACGACATAAAACGATCAGCCGAATGTCAAAGTGTTAACAAAACATCACAATGATCTTAGCAATCCCAATGCCATGATGAAATCGGACGGAGGTGGTACTTCAAACGTTACAAATTCGAGTGTTTCCGGGTGTACAAACCTGTGCACATGGAACAAATAACAGTACAATACATGTTTCGAAAACTCGAAATGTAACTCCAACCAGCAATTCATACTTTGCTTACGTATCAACTCACCCGAGTGTGGCTGCATGGAGCAGCGGCCGATCCAGCCCAGCAATCCACTGAGCCACAGAGGAGCGGAGAGGCGATGAGGAGGGCAAGGAAGCCAGGAGGCGAGATGACACGTGGCGTATGGATCCACCATACGTTTCATCACCGATCAATGGATGGCCTAGAAACCGTGCATGCACTCTAATCTGCATGTGAGAGCAAATACAAGGCAGTGGCAAAGAAGAGAACGATTATGGAAAATCTTGTACAAAATACAGTCTATAACTTCCCACACCCTGCACAACCACCTGGGCCCAATTATACAACCCACACTCCTGAACAAGCCCTGGCGCCCTTGGGGAACTTGTTGTTTTAAACACACAACTGTGTATTTGTGATTTGCCCATCTGATGCCAACAGCTCACCTGACGCCTCTGACTCACACCTGACGCCTCTGACTCACTCACTCACCCACCTGGTGCGACCTACCAATCTCCAGCCTCCACTCCACCAGAGCAGCACATCTGCCCATCACCCTTCCTACCTGGTGCCTGCCAACCACCCGCCTGGTGCCACCCACCCACCCCATGTTGACCCCCATCCCACTGGTGGCCCCTGCCCGCCCCTCCACCCCACCAGAGCAGCACATCCGACCGCTCACCCTTCCTACCTCGTGCCTCCCACTTACATACCTCATGCATCCCTCCCACGCACCTGCTGCCTCCCACTCGCCCACCAGGTGCCTCCCACTCGCCCACCAGGTGCCTCCCACTCGCCCACCAGGTGCCTCCCACTCGCCCACCAGGTGCCTCCCACTCGCCCACCAGGTGCCTCCCACTCGCCCACCGGATGCCTCCCACTCGCCCACCCGCCCACTCACCTGGTGAGTTCTGCCCGTCTCCAGCCTCCATTCCACAAGAGCAGCTGCTCCTCCAGCAAGGGACTCCACCACTCGGTACCTGATGGAACAAGGGCAGGCAGCAAGGCCCACGGCAACAAGGGCACGTGCAACAAGGGCACGTGCCACAAGGGCACGCAACAAAAGATGTTCTGAGTCGACTTCAAACACTCCAGCACTCAGTACCTGATGGAACAAGCGCACGCAGCAAGATATCCTCAGATATCCCAGTGCAGCCAGATATCCTCAGATATCCCAGTGCAGCAAGATATCCTCAGATATCCCAGTGCAGCAAGATATCCTCAGAGTGGTCTCCAAACTCTCCAAGGCTCCGTGCCTGACAACACCAAGAGGGGCTGAGGCGGAAAGAATCCGAGTCATGCATTTGACTTGTGAGTCGTCTAAGGGTCCACCTCACCTGCTGGCGGCTCTTCTGCTCCTGTTGGAGCTGGTAAGAGGCAGCAGCACCACCATGCATCTGCTCTTGAGTCGACCCCAAATATGACTTGTGAGTCCCCTCACTGTTCTTCTCACCTGCTGGCGGCTCTTCTGCTCCTGTGGGAGCCAGTCATCGGCAGCACAGCCATGCGCTTTCGGTCCTTGGGGTCTCGGCCAATGGGAGCGTCCACACGATCGGAGTGCGGTGCGGGCGTGCCTGAATGGGCGAGGGCACAAGATAGTCACGTAGTTGTGCATTTCCAAACCACGCGTATACGCCTTTCACAGCTCCATCTGCTAAGCTGAAAAGTGAAAGCACACACACACACATAAGTGCAATAGCACACACACACATCGTGCTCGTTGAAGTCAAAAAGTGCGAAGGACCCATCACTCATCGTGCTCGTTGCAGTTGGATAAGTAACGGGCAAGGACCAGCATGCCTGTCCTCATACACCACGTCCAGCGCACCAGCAGACGGCTCACATTAATACTATACTATGTATGCAGAGGTCCGGGGGGGGGTATCACACCACGTCGACAGCCTTATTGACAACCACCACGTGCCCGTCCTCGTACACCACGTCCAGCACTATGGCAGACGGCTCCAGCGCCTGCTGGAGCAAAACGCTGGAATCTTACTCACCAATGACAAGAGAGAGGTAGCTTCTGTGAACAGTGCGTGCCTTGAACTGCGCACTCAAGTGCGCCTGGCTGAAGGAGTCCTGGAGAGACAAGCAGGTGGGAGATGAAACAGTGGGAGATAACTATGGTTTGTGCTGGCGATGGACATGAGGTGGGAGCAGGGAGGGAGTGCGCATGGAAGGATTGAGAGTGGGATGCGGAAGGGGGGGGGAAGTGTGTGGGATGCGGAAGGGAGGGGGAAGTGTGTGGGATGCAGAAGGGGGGGGAAGTGTGTGGGATGCGGAAGGGGGGGGGAAGTGTGTGGGACAGGGGGCAATGCACTACATAGTGCACCTCGGAAAAAGGAAAGCACAGAAAGGGAGAATAGGATTAGAGAAGTTGTAAGTAAACGAGGATGCAGCAACGAAGCTGGAGAGAAAAGGCAGCCAATCACGAAAGCTGGTGCACCTTTGCCACGACAAGCAGCCCGCTGGTTCCCTTGTCCAATCTGTGCACGATTCCTGGCCGCACATCCGCTCCCCCTGTCATGCCCATGCGCACATCTACTCTCGCTAATGGCCCTGCTCCGAGCCCCTCCCCGACCTCCTCCCCTTCCTTTCCCTCCCCCCCCTCTTCCTCCCCTTCCTCCTCCTCATCCTCCTCATCCTCCCCTTCCCAACCAGCATCTTCACAGCCTTGAGACGACTCCTCTCCCCTCTCCTCCAAGAGTAAGTCGGAGGAGGAGGGAAGCGAGGAGGAGGAGGAAGGGAGTTGGTAGTGGTGCAGCAGGGCGTTCACGAGAGTGCCTTGCCAGTTGCCAGCGGCGGGATGAACCACCTGCTCTGGAGGCCAAGGGGCGAGTGGACAGACCAAGATAGCAGACAGAGAGTGTTATGAGGAGAGCAGGAGGAGGAGGAGGAGGAGGAGGAGGAGGAGGAGGAGGAGGAGGAGGAGGAGGAGGAGGAGGAGGAGGAGGAGGAGGAGGAGGAGGAGGAGGAGGAGGAGGAGGAGGAGGAGGAGGAGGAGGAGGAGGGAATCGAGGAAAAGCATTTGTAGTGGGGCGGCAGGGCATTCACGAGAGTGCCTTGCCAGTTGCCGGCGGCGGGATGAACCACCTGCTCTGAAGGACAGGGGAAGTAAGGAGAGGGTTGCACAAAGAGAAGGCTGACGAGTCGACAACCACTTGCCCGTTCAGGCCCACGGCGGATGGCTCAGATTCAATACTGTACTACGCAGACGATGTGCTGCGCAGATTCAATACTGTACTACGCAGACGATGTGCTGCGCAGATTCAATACTGTACTACGCAGACGATGTGCTGCGCAGATTCAATACTGTACTACGCAGACGATGTGCTGCGCAGATTCGATACTGTACTACGCAGACGATGTGCTGCGCAGATTCGATACTGTACTACGCAGACGATGTGCTGCGCAGATTCGATACTGTACTACGCAGACGATGTGCTGCGCAGATTCGATACTGTACTACGCAGACGATGTGCTGCGCAGATTCGATACTGTACTACGCAGACGATGTGCTGCGCAGATTCGATACTGTACTACGCAGACGATGTGCTGCGCAGATTCGATACTGTACTACGCAGACGATGTGCTGCGCAGATTCGATACTGTACTACGCAGACGATGTGCTGCGCAGATTCAATACTGTACTACGCAGACGATGTGCTGCGCAGATTCGATACTGTACTACGCAGACGATGTGCTGCGCAGATTCGATACTGTACTACGCAGACGATGTGCTGCGCAGATTCGATACTGTACTACGCAGACGATGTGCTGCGCAGATTCAATACTGTACTACGCAGACGATGTGCTGCGCAGATTCGATACTGTACTACGCAGACGATGTGCTGCGCAGATTCAATACTGTACTACGCAGACGATGTGCTGCGCAGATTCGATACTGTACTACGCAGACGATGTGCTGCGCAGATTCATACTGTACTACGCAGACGATGTGCTGCGCAGATTCAATACTGTACTACGCAGACGATGTGCTGCGCAGATTCAATACTGTACTACGCAGACGATGTGCTGCGCAGATTCGATACTGTACTACGCAGACGATGTGCTGCGCAGATTCGATACTGTACTACGCAGACGATGTGCTGCGCAGATTCGATACTGTACTACGCAGACGATGTGCTGCGCAGATTCAATACTGTACTACGCAGACGATGTGCTGCGCAGATTCAATGCGCAGATTCGATACTGTACTACGCAGACGATGTGCTGCGCAGATTCGATACTGTACTACGCAGACGATGTGCTGCGCAGATTCGATACTGTACTACGCAGACGATGTGCTGCGCAGATTCGATACTGTACTACGCAGACGATGTGCTGCGCAGATTCGATACTGTACTACGCAGACGATGTGCTGCGCAGATTCGATACTGTACTACGCAGACGATGTGCTGCGCAGATTCGATACTGTACTACGCAGACGATGTGCTGCGCAGATTCGATACTGTACTACGCAGACGATGTGCTGCGCAGATTCGATACTGTACTACGCAGACGATGTGCTGCGCAGATTCGATACTGTACTACGCAGACGATGTGGGCTGCGCAGAGATTGCTCCAATCGATACTGTACTACGCAGACGATGTGCTGCGCAGATTCGATACTGTACTACGCAGACGATGTGCTGCGCAGATTCGATACTGTACTACGCAGACGATGTGCTGCGCAGATTCGATACTGTACTACGCAGACGATGTGCTGCGCAGATTCATACTGTACTACGCAGACGATGTGCTGCGCAGATTCAATACTGTACTACGCAGACGATGTGCTGCGCAGATTCATACTGTACTACGCAGACGATGTGCTGCGCAGATTCGATACTGTACTACGCAGACGATGTGCTGCGCAGATTCGATACTGTACTACGCAGACGATGTGCTGCGCAGATTCGATACTGTACTACGCAGACGATGTGCTGCGCAGATTCATACTGTACTACGCAGACGATGTGCTGCGCAGATTCAATACTGTACTACGCAGACGATGTGCTGCGCAGATTCAATACTGTACTACGCAGACGATGTGCTGCGCAGATTCGATACTGTACTACGCAGACGATGTGCTGCGCAGATTCGATACTGTACTACGCAGACGATGTGCTGCGCAGATTCGATACTGTACTACGCAGACGATGTGCTGCGCAGATTCAATACTGTACTACGCAGACGATGTGCTGCGCAGATTCAATACTGTACTACGCAGACGATGTGCTGCGCAGATTCAATACTGTACTACGCAGACGATGTGCTGCGCAGATTCGATACTGTACTACGCAGACGATGTGCTGCGCAGATTCGATACTGTACTACGCAGACGATGTGCTGCGCAGATTCGATACTGTACTACGCAGACGATGTGCTGCGCAGATTCAATACTGTACTACGCAGACGATGTGCTGCGCAGATTCATACTGTACTACGCAGACGATGTGCTGCGCAGATTCAATACTGTACTACGCAGACGATGTGCTGCGCAGATTCGATACTGTACTACGCAGACGATGTGCTGCGCAGATTCGATACTGTACTACGCAGACGATGTGCTGCGCAGATTCGATACTGTACTACGCAGACGATGTGCTGCGCAGATTCGATACTGTACTACGCAGACGATGTGCTGCGCAGATTCGATACTGTACTACGCAGACGATGTGCTGCGCAGATTCAATACTGTACTACGCAGACGATGTGCTGCGCAGATTCGATACTGTACTACGCAGACGATGTGCTGCGCAGATTCGATACTGTACTACGCAGACGATGTGCTGCGCAGATTCGATACTGTACTACGCAGACGATGTGCTGCGCAGATTCGATACTGTACTACGCAGACGATGTGCTGCGCAGATTCGATACTGTACTACGCAGACGATGTGCTGCGCAGATTCGATACTGTACTACGCAGACGATGTGCTGCGCAGATTCAATACTGTACTACGCAGACGATGTGCTGCGCAGATTCAATACTGTACTACGCAGACGATGTGCTGCGCAGATTCAATACTGTACTACGCAGACGATGTGCTGCGCAGATTCGATACTGTACTACGCAGACGATGTGCTGCGCAGATTCGATACTGTACTACGCAGACGATGTGCTGCGCAGATTCGATACTGTACTACGCAGACGATGTGCTGCGCAGATTCGATACTGTACTACGCAGACGATGTGCTGCGCAGATTCAATACTGTACTACGCAGACGATGTGCTGCGCAGATTCAATACTGTACTACGCAGACGATGTGCTGCGCAGATTCGATACTGTACTACGCAGACGATGTGCTGCGCAGATTCGATACTGTACTACGCAGACGATGTGCTGCGCAGATTCGATACTGTACTACGCAGACGATGTACCGCGCAGATTCGATACTGTACTACGCAGACGATGTGCTGCGCAGATTCGATACTGTACTACGCAGACGATGTGCTGCGCAGATTCGATACTGTACTACGCAGACGATGTGCTGCGCAGATTCAATACTGTACTACGCAGACGATGTGCTGCGCAGATTCATACTGTACTACGCAGACGATGTGCTGCGCAGATTCGATACTGTACTACGCAGACGATGTACCGCGCAGATTCGATACTGTACTACGCAGACGATGTACCGCGCAGATTCGATACTGTACTACGCAGACGATGCGCTGCGCAGATTCAATATGGTACTATGCAGACGATGTGCTGCGCAGATTCAGGGCCACCATGTTCAATACTTGCCCATCATTTTTGAGGCGCCTCAAAAACCATGTTCAATACTTGCCGTCCGCCTGCACTATGCAAACGCGAGGAGAGCAGCCTACCATGTGGGCGGCCTTGTTCACGACCACCACGTGCCCGCCCTCGTACACCACGTCCAGCGCTACAGCGGATGGCGTCAACTGCATGCCTTCATCTAAGAACGGAGAGTTGGGCATAACAACCTACCATGTGAGCTGCCTTATTGACCACCACCACGTGCCCGTCCTCGTACACCACGTCCAGCGCAACAGCGGACGGCTCCAGCGCCTGCAGGGCCTTGGGCGGGGCGAGACTGCCCTGCACCCTGTCGCCCTCCCTCACTGCGTACGATGGCTGGGGAAGGGGGGAAGATGGGGGACGAAAGGGGAAGAGGGGGGACGAGGGGGGCGAGGGGGGCGAGGGGGGGCGAGGGGGGGAAGAGAGACGGAAGAGTAAAAAGAAACATCTCGACCGCCCTGCACCCTGTCGCCCTCCCTTACTGCGTACGAGGGCTGTGGAAGGGGTGGGGGTGGGGGTGGGGGTGGGGGTGGATGAGGGAGGAGCTAGAGCAGGAGAGGGAGTCTTCCCCGCACCCTATCGGCCCTCCTGCACTGCGTACGATGGCTGGGGAGGGGGGGTGGGGTGCGGGTGGATGAGGGAAGAACAGGAAGAGGGAGGAGCTAGAGCAGAGAACGAGACTGGCCCCCACCCTATCGGCCACCTCACTGCGTATGATGACTGGGGAAGAAGGGGAGAGGGGGGGGGGGTGGGGGGGGAGCGGGATGGGGGTAGGGGTGGGGGTGGGGGTGGGGAGAGGAGAACAGAAAGAGGGAAGAGTGAGAGCAACGAGCGAGAGTAAGAGCAAAGAGCGAGACTGCCCTGTACCCTGTCGCCCTCCCTCACTGCGTATGCTGGCTGGGAGTTAGGGAAACACTGGCGGAAAAGGGAAGAGGAAGGAGATGAGAAGGGGGATTGCTGCTCTGGGGGACCACGGGCGGAATAGAGGGGGAAACGGGGGAAATTGAGGGAGGAGGAGGGGCGGGGGAGGGGACTCTCACATTCACCAAAGGGGGGGGTGTTTTTGAGAATTCTCAAAAACACTCTGCAAAAGGAAGGGACTCTCTGTTTCCTCACCTTCTTCTGGGCTCTGCCATTCACCAGCACTGTCCCTTCGCGAATGGCGTCCTGCCACCTGGCACGGCTGATCCTCTCCCCCTGTGCCGCCAGAAACGCATCGAGACGGGATTTGGCCTGGCTCCTAGGCACCACAACGTCTACAGATTCCCCCGCTATCGCCACACTCTGAGGCAGAGGCACCGTGTCTGAAGATTCTTCCGATATTAGAACGCCCCCGGCTGATTCCCCTGTGCCATGATTGCTGTCGTGCGACTCAGCTTCTAGCACACCTTTCAACCTAGCGGCAGCGAAGCTTCTGATGCCACGTGTCGCCTTCTGACTGGCGGAGACACGCGAGCTGACGTGTATGCACGGAGGCGTGAGATTAACGCTGAAGATATTCCCATTAATCTTGTATAGACACCTACCAGGGGTGGGAACACTCATCAGTGGTTGAGAAGCGGAGGGAATCGATCGATTCATGGCTAGCAATTGGCTTAAGGTCGAAAAACAATTAGAAGAATCCGGAGATCCGAGTTCTCTACGATGAACGGCGAGGATGGACTTGGGTGGAGCAGAGCGGCAATGAGGGAGCAGCGAACACGAGGCGAGACGGGAAAATGCAGCCACTGATGTGAGCACGCGATTGGCGAGCGGCCTCCGTAAAGGCCGGCGAACCGAACGAGGACAGCAGGCGAGCATACGACGGCGACTAGTAGCAAGTCACAGAGCAGGCACGGTAATAGCTGGCTGTGTTTATGTGCTTGTGACAAAGTTGTGTGGGTGGGGGAATCTATATGTTGAATTCAAGAGTTCATGGTCCTGCATTGCGAAATGTTACTTGTATGGTGAGAATTTACGCTTTTTACATAGTGTCGAAACTCCCTATATATGATTCTCTGAATTTCCCACGCTCGCCATGTAAGTTTTCACTTGGCGCAACGTCAGCGTGCCACGTGAAAGTACTCCGGGGCCACCTTACCTCGGCAAGAAGGATCATCTTCGATGAAAACGGTTCAGATAGGTGAAAACGTTTTCGGCTTGTGTGGGTACGGTTCAGAAGCTGACAGCTGACCCCACCGAACCGAACAGAGCCGAATGGTAGCCTCGAGATTCGTTTCTGACAACTCCTAGGCTACCTTCTCAAATCCCTCGCTCATTTTGATCATTCATCTATTCCAGGCAGCCTCATCATTCCGTTATTTAGCCTCCTCTATTATCTTCAGGCCACTGCATTTCCAGCAGCCACGCATTCCCTTCGCTAGCAAGTTTCGCTTGCTGGTCGTGTGCAATTCGATCCGGTTGTCGCGGTGCAGTTCGACCAGGCTCAGCGGGTCCTGATCCTCGTGTGTCGAAGTCACGTGATCCCTGCATACAATTCGGCTCGGTTGTCTCTCTTGCTGCTCCAGTTGCCACGTGTCTAGCAGCAGGTACGATGGACGTGCTTGCAGTCCCGCAAGTCCACCCCCACCTTAATTCGCTAACATCTTCAACCGCTCTCCGACAATCCGCAGCAGCGAGAATCGTCGCCATAAGCAGCAGCAGCAGCAGCAGCAGCAGCAGCAGCAGCCTTGGACGAGCCCCGCTTAGCTGCACAGCGACTAGAAACCTCATCAGAATTCGCAGTGCTGTCACTCGTCAGTCCACCCGCCGATTCCGCCAGTACCGTCCTGATCTTCGCCGTGCTCTCCGCGTCAGCGCTAGCCAATCAGACGGCGACAACACGGGAAGTGAGAGCCATGGCACGTCAGCGGGTGTCGCAGTACCGGCAGCACCTGCTGCTACTAAGGACGAGCTGGTGAAGTACATCTCAGGCAACGCGGAGGTACGCCGGTTTAACTCGAGAAGACTGATTCAGATTCAGAATGTCCATGTTGTTCGTTAGTCGAACCAGCACCGGCTGCTAGTTCGTTAGTCGAACCAGCACCTCACCTGCTGCTACTAAGGACGAGCTGGTCAAATACATCTCAGGCAACGCGGAGGTACGGCGGTTTGGGCTGAGGAGAGTAAGGTTGAATGTTCAGCAATGCAACTTATAGATGCTCTTAATTTGAATATTGCCCATGATTGTAAGTGAACATGCCAGCGTTTCGCCTCCTCTTCATTGCACGAAGCGCGACTTCTGATTTCCACCTTTTTTACTTTACTATCCCACGTGTGCGATCCTGCAGGTGTCCGTGATGGTGGTGGTGGCCACTGATCTGGTCAAGGAGGCTCAGAGGAGACACGGCATGGCCCCCACGGTGAGTCATGTTGCACAGCTCTCACGGCGAGTCAGGTTGCATGGCTCCCACGGTGAGTCATGGTGCATGGCCCCACCGTGAGACATGGCGCATGGCTTCCACGGCGAGTCTCGGTGAAAGCGGTCAGTAATGGTTCATTCTCTGGTCTCTCGGCCACTCATGGTGTCCGTGATGGTGGTGGTGGCCATTGATCTGGTCAAGGAGGCTCAGAGGAGACACAGTGAGACGTGACTCACATAGTCCATCAGAGTTCCCACCGTCAGTCTTTCTTTCTACAGTACATCGCCATCAGTGTCGGTTCTTACCCGGTGATGGCTCATGCGGTCAGTTGTGGCTTTTGTTGCCAGTCAAGTCATGTCACCATCGCAATCATTTTTCTTTGCCATCTCCCTTGTTCGTATTCCTCTCTCCATGGATATGGAAAATTAGTTTTGAGACGTCTCAAAAGTTAACTACTTACGCAAGTTCGTTCGTATTGCTCTCCATGGATATGGCACATGGCAGCAGCTCAGCTCGTCTGTCCTTCGTGTCGGGTCACAGTGAATGAACAACCTGGGGCCAATCGGGTGACTGACAGCTGCTTCCAGGCATATTTTGAGTCGGCTCGAAATACACCTGGACATGGTACATGGCAGCAGCTCGTCTGTCCTTCGTGTCGGGTCACAGTGAACAACCTGGGGCCTATCGGGCGGCTGACAGCTGTTCCCAGGCAGCGCCAATAAGCTGTTCTCACAGTGTGCCTCTTTCTTTCATGTCTACTCTTTCCACAGGCGGTAGCAGCTCTGGGGAGACTGTTAATGAGGACACTGCTGCTGGGAGCCATGAAGGGCCCAGATGAGTCTGTGGAGGTCAGGGTGAACGGCCGGGGGCCAGGCAGCACTGACAATCTTTGCCTGCTACTTTCTCCTTTCCTCCATGTCTGCTCGTATCGCAGGCCATAGCAGCACTCGGGCGGCTGCTAATGGGTACACTGCTGCTGGGAGCAATGAAAGGGCCAGACGAGTCCGTGCAGGTCACAGTGAATGGCCGGGGACCGATCGGGCAGGTCACGGCTGTTTCCGCACAGCATGGGGAGGTGAAAGGATTCGCCCATAACCCTCTGGCGGATCCTCCTCTCAACTCCAAAGGCAAGGTGAGTGTCAGCTTTTGAGTCAACTTTTGAGGCGCCTCTAAAATAGACTCCTCACAGCACGGGGAGGTGAAGGGATTCGCGCATAACCCTCTGGCGGATCCTCCTCTCAACTCCGAAGGCAATGTGAGTGTCAGCTTTTGAGTCAACTCAATACATGGGGAGGTTGCGCTGTGCGCACAAACCTCTGGCGGATCCTCCTCTTCACTCGATGGGCAAGGTACGAGACAAGTCCCGGAAGAAAAAAAAACAGATTCAAAGTCTTCGAAAAACAGAAGAACGAAAGAAAGTGAAAAAAGGTGGGCTAGTGATCCTTTTCTAACCGAGAAGAAGTCTTCTGAAAGATTTTCAACTGGCAAGCCTTGAATGAGATCACTTGCTTTTACACTACCCTGTCATACCTGGGCATGTCTCAGAATAGTTCTCATTGATCCTCCATTGCTCTGTTCCTGGTGGCAGATGGACGTGGGTGGTGCCGTGGGCAAGGGAGTTCTTAGCGTCATCCGAACTCATCCTTCCTGGCAGTCCCCTTACACGTGAGCCTTATGGTCGAGTAAAAAACCGCATAATCCACGAGTCAATAGCACACTCATGCACACACCTGCACACTGAACCCGTCCCTCCTGGCAGTCTCCTTACACGCGAGCCGTATGGTCGAGTCAAAAGCCACATAAGCCATCAGTCAATCGCCCACTCACGCACACCTGCACACTAAACCCATCCAACCTGGCAGTCGCCTCACACGTGAGGCTTTAAGTAAATGGATTACTTCAATCCACAAGTCAAGAACACACTCTTGCACACCTGCACACTGTGCGAAAAATGCAGGGGGTGGGGGGAGGGAGGTGTATAAGAAGAGCAACGGGCTTTGTCAGCATCTCGATTTCTTCTCGTTGCCCTTCTGCCTTCTCTTCATTGCTTTCCTGTCCCCCCTTCAGTCTTGCTGTCAGCAATGCAACAGTCGTGCAACAGTCATGCAACAGTCGTGCAACAGTCGTGCAACAGTCGTGCAACAGTCGTGCAACAGTCGTGCAACAGTCGTGCACCCCCCCCCTGCTTTCGATTGCCTTCTTTTCATTGCTCTCCTGTCCCCCCTTCAGTTTTGTTTTGAGGCGCCTCAAAACTAGGCTTTCCTGTCCCCTTTTAAGATTTATTCAATGCTCCATGTACCTTAAGTGTCAGCAACCTGTCTCTCCACATCCCTCCACAATGAGTGGCACAGTGCGTCTGGTGTTGGGGGAGATAGCAGAGGACCTGGCGAACTACAAGGCAGAGAGAGTGAGCAGACCAACTCATCTTCTTCTCCCATCCCTCTTGCCTTTCTCCCCTTATTGTCCGTGCAACCAGCGGCACTGTGCCTCTGGTGTCAGGGGAGATAGCAGAAGACCTGGCGAACTATCTAGCGGAGAGTGAGCAGGTCAACTCTGCTCTGGGGCTGGGAGTGGCGGTGGGGAAGGACGGCATTGTCAGAGCAGCAGGCGGTTTTCTTGTTCAAGTGAGTGGTCAATCAATGCTGCCACCCTGTTCTCTGGCACCTCAAAATCCGGTCCTGGAGCTGGAAGCGGTGGTGGGGAAGGATGTCATTGTCAGGGCAGCAAGCGGGTTCCCAGTCCATGATTGATGCAATGCCACCGCTCTTTCTTTCTCTCCAAAGACTTGTTCATACTCCGGCTTGCGCATCTCGCATAGACTTGATAAGGAGGCGCATATTTTTTTCGTTTTCACCCCAGTGACCCATCATCCTTCCCTCTTCGTTTTGTCCTCTTCAATGCATGCTCCCTCCAGGTCCTTCCCTTCTGCTCAGACGAGACACTGGATCAGCTAGAGGCCAACGTCCAATCGCTGGGCGCCATGTCAGACGCAGTGCAGCGCATGGATGCAGCAGCCATTGCCCACCATCTCTTGCAGGGGCTTGCCCCCGAAGCAGTGATTGATCCGGTATGTTCCGACCTTGTGATTGGTGTGGTATGGCCCGAACCTCTTACGTGTCTGCAGTGCTGGTGCGATGTGTCACTGGCATAGTGGATGCAGTGCAGCATGTGGTTACCAGCCCCTTGAAACTGCCTCTTCATTTATTCACAAGCATCCTCTCTCTATTCTGATGAAGCATCCTATCCTGTCCGCTCTCGCCCCCTTCCATCCTACACGTGGAGCAGATTGTGCCTGCGTTTGGCCCGTGTGGGTTGGAGGACTTGAAGCCTCGCATGCTTAGAGCTGTGGAGTCTCTAGGAGCTGAGGATGTGAAGAAACTGATTGAGGAAAGAGGTGAGTGGAGGGTTTTGTGCTGTCAATTTGAAGATGCTTAGATTTGTTTTTGAGCTCGAGGAGCTCACTTAGCACAGTAGCATTTTGAAGGTTGACACAGGGAGTAGCTTGTGCTGAATGTACTC